ACTCTCTTCTGATCTCTGAGGGCATTGCACAACACAGATGCAGACAATATACTCGTACACATAAAATGAAATAATTAAAATGCTTTCTTAAAAAAAGAATTAACATTTGAAGCCAGGTATGGTGCTGTAATACCATCACTTGAGAAACTGAGGCAGGAGGATTATAAAAGTTTCAAGTCAGGGGCTGGAGAGATGGCTCGGCAGTTAAGAACACTGGTTGTTCTTGCAGAAGACCCAAGTTTGAATACCAGCACCCACATGGCAGCTAACAACTGTCCATAACTCCAGTCCCAGGGGACCTGACAGCCTCTTCTGACCTCCGAGGGTATTGCACGACATGGGTGCACTTACCTACGTGCAGGCAATACTTGCATACATATAAAATAAAAATAATAAATAATAAAAGTAAAAAAAATTCAAGTCAGCTTCAGCTACACAGAGAAACTCTATCTCAAACAAAACAAAAGGATAAACATTTTCTAGCATGCTAGATGGCATAGGATGTCAGTCCCCTGGAACTAGAGTTATGAACAGTTGTTAACCACCATATGAGTGCTAGAACCCAGGTCCTCTGCAAGAGCAGCCAGTGCTCTTGACTACTGAGCCATCTTTGCAGTTCCAAGAAAAGTGTTAATCTTTTTTAACAATCTAATCACCTTTCAAAAGCCCCATCTACTAACACTTCCATAAACAGCAATCAATCAAATTTCAACATGCATTTTGAAGGGGACAAACCATATTCAAGCTATAACAATACTTTTTGAAGAAACTGGGAGAATAAGGGTCTGACTAGAGAAGGCAAAGGATCAGAAACTGCTACTTCTCAAACTTCTAAAGTCAGACAAGCCAGCTGCTACAGCTGAGTCCAAGGGAAGGGAAGCTTAAGGAAGTCTGTGGCCTGAGATTTCTGAGACAGGAGGATTGCCATGAGTTTGAGGTCAGTCTGGACTACATGGTGAGATCTTGTCTTTCAAAAATAAACAAAATCAATAACAACAAAACCCAAAACACATTGGAGGGGGCTGTTTGCCAGTCTGCACTCTGGAATGGCTGAGATGCTGAGCCAGAACACTCACGTCAGATGAGTACAGCTTTTATGGTGATGATTTTGATGATGCGGAGGATGATGGAGTTTATGCCCTCGGGAGTGGTCTGAAAAATAGGTGTCTTGTCCTCTGCATGACCAGTGCCACAAGCCTTTTCCAAATGCATTTGCAGCCCTCTGAGGCCAATAGCTGCTGGCCCCCTGTCCACCCCATCCTCATACTTGGTGACAAATCACAAACTCAGGGTCTTTAGAAATTAGCTTAGCTGCTCACACTGGAGGAAATGAAAGGAGCCTTCTCTACCTCAGCCGTAAGTAGAATGGAAATATATAGCCTTATGCCGGGCTGTGAGCAGTTAGTGTGCCCTGGTCCAGCCATCTGCCTCAATTAGGCAGTCTCTTTGTGTTCTGGATGTCATCCTTGCTCGTGGGCACAGAGATGTTAAAGGCCCACAGACATAGAAATACCAGCAGTATGCATGCGTGTACAATTCCATCTTTACACAAGGGTGCACATTTGGTTATCTTCCTCAAGTTCAAAGTAGAAGTTGCTCGAACTTGGAAAACAAGAACTGAACTGATGTGAGGTGTGACATATTGAGGAAGCATCCATCTGCTTCAAGTCTTTCTTTTCACCTCTGTCTTAACATCTTCATTTTGCAGGGGGGTGGGTGTTAGATAGACATCATAGGTGGTATGGGAAAGGATTAGAGGGGACACAGGCACAGAGCCAAAGTAAACATATCTTCCCCAATGCAGGAATGCAATGCAATCATCAGTTTCTAGACTGCAAGAGTGTTCATATTCAGAAAGAAAGCATACTACTGCAAAGATTGGCAAAATGTTTCCAGAGATAACTGTTTAGGTTTTGAGGGTCACATGGTCTTTTCAACAGTGACTCAAATATGCTGTTGCATATTTGAGTAACCATAGGCAATAATAAGCAAGTATAGCATGTTTCAATAAAACTTTATTTACTCACAAAAATGTAGCCCTTGGGCTTTCGTTTGCAAAGCCCTGTATAGGATATAAGGAACCCAGGGTTATCAAGGCCAGCTTCGCAGTTCTGCAAGATTTTTCCTTTTCACCTTTTTTTTTTTTTGATAGGGTCTCTGTGTGGCGCAGATTGGTCTGGATTTTACAATCATCCTGCTTCAGCCTCCTGAGTGCTAGTTTTAATAGGCGTGCACCACCTGAGGACTGGCTGGGCTCCATGCTGCTTCCTCCAGACAGGACATAGATAATCCTACTTCATGTGTGTCGGCATTGGTGTGGTTCTGTTCTGTCCAGTGTTTTAGAGTTCTGAAGGAGTGCTGTCAATTGCTCCTTTGCATCCCTTCTCCCCACTGTGTATGTGTGTATCTCTACATGGTTCCTCTTCCTCTCCCTCCATCCCTTGCACTCACAGGGTTGGAAGACTCTAGAATGCAACTCTTTCAGTCATCCTGGCTAAAACCTTGGCCTCTTTCCAGGCATCCCGTCTGTTCTAGGGCAAGATATAATGAATAACAGTGGGAAGAACTCAGATCTGGATACTGGGTGGGACAGGCCACCAGCTTGCTGTGTAACTGGACAAATAGCCTCTCTGAGCTACCCTTTCATCCTCTTATCAAATAAAGGAGTTGGCTACCTGGCTTCTAGAATCCCTTTTAGCTATAATTTTGGAACTTTAGGAAGCTGTGGCCTCAACTCTGTGCGGCTGTCTGGGGCCATTACATAGGATGTCACTCACAGACCTCATTGAAACTGGCAGGAGGGCAGCAGAAATTAGTGCCATGATCTGTAGTTGGCAATGTTCCTAAGGCCTGCATAGATGAGGGGCTGGGGTTCCCACTGAACTTCAGAGGATCTGAGATTCCATCACCAGAGGAGGAAAACAGATAATTCCAGGAACTCCCATATTCCCAAGTAACGAGTTTATTTCTAGACCCTCATTGTGATAGCTATAAAATGCACACAGATTTGGTCTCAACTGAAAATAGAACTTTGGGGAGCTACGGTTGGGAGTTCAGATCATCAGAGCTTCTTATGTGGAGCTCTCCTGACCATATGAAGATTCCCCTTCCAGAGTTCACCCAGTAAGCACATGACCAGGCCACGGGGAGGAAGGCTTGGAGGACTTGAAACAACGAATTAGTGACTTCTTGCAGGCATCCATGGAGGGGTCCTCTCTGTAAGTCAGGATGAGGGGGTTGGGAAAGATAGGACTGCAAGACCTTGGCTGAGGCAGGGGTAGTGGCAGCTGGCAGCTTGGGAGCGCTTTCCATATCAGCTGGAGCTCATGTAGATGACACAGGTAGGCCACACCCCAACCTCCCGGCAAGATTGTGGCTGTGTCCAGGAGGAAGGGAATGGAGAAGCCACGTTTTTGTCAAGTGTTCTGGCTATATCCCTAGCCTGCAAAACCCATACTCTGGCCTCCAGGAGAACAGACTCTTATTGTCTGGCTCTGCTAAAGCTGTCTCATTTGTAACCTAAATAATTCACTCAGCCATCTCTCACAGAGCATTAGGAGAAAAACAAAACCTACCCCAGCCCTGTGCTCAGGTTAGAGGGCAGGCTAGGAGGCTGGGAGGCCATCTCAGGCCTTCAAAAGTGACCTGGGGCTGACAACCTGCTGAATGAGAGCCACCATGTATTTCTGTCTAGCTCTAGAACTGAAGATGGCTTTTACATTTTTGAAAGGTAAACAGAATGAAATGAAACACGGAACACCAAAACTGAAGACTATCCCAGAGCCTATGTAGCCTGCTGGGCATAGGATATTCATGATCTGGCTCTTTCTAGAGAATACTTGTGCCGGGTGTGGTGGCGCAGGCCTCTAGTCCCAGCACTCGGGAGGCAGAGGCAGGCGGATCTCTGTGAGTTCAAAGCCAGCCTGGTCTACATAGTGCGTTCCATGTCAGCTGGGGCTACAGGGAGACCCTGTCTCGCAAAGACTGAAAAAAATAAATAAATAAATAAATAAAAAGAAAATACTTGCCACCCCTGCATCTATCCTCTGGCTTCTACTCTTCAATGTTGAAGAAGGCCATGACAGCCTTTGACCTTTCCCATGGCTACCCTGCCCCATGGCCTTCCTAGATGCAGATATCTGGGGGCTAAGTTCCAAAGATGGCACTAAAATTCACCTCATTTAACAAAAACAAAAATGTACCCTAGAGTAGGGTTCAGAAGGGGGAATATCAGTCTTAATCTATTGAATAAGGAGGTAGGCAGAGAGAGGGAAACTGAGACTCATCCCCAAACTGTCATCCATTTGGCTTCTCAGGGATTTGGCAACATTCAGGTCTAATCTACCAACACCTCATTACTCCCAAGGCCTTGATAAGCCAGCATGCCACTCCCAAGCCATCTAGGGTGCCAGTGTGATGAGGTGGGGTTGGGATCCTCAACCCTGGGCTGTGGCTCTCTCTGAAGGGAGAGGGCTGGAGACCCCAGAAGAGGTGGGTCAGAGCTGCTGCTGGTCTGAGTGACCTCTGGGTTGTCATGGGTCCTGTTTGGAATTTGGGGAACTGAGAGCAGGGTAGGGGCCAAGGTACATGTAGATTCTGGGTTATTTCAGATAGGAGAAGAGGGATCTCCATCCAAGTCCCAGTTGTAGCATATCCCAAGAGAAAAGCTGCTGCTGTGCAGCCAGTGCTTTGAAGGGTCTAGGACTTGAGATAAAGTTACCATGGAATGCCCAGACTGGACTCTCCACAGCCATGGTTTGGATCCTAGGCTGAGAGATCCTGGGCAAATAATCTCATTCTGTGATTCAGTTTCCTCAGCCGTTAAATCAAGCAAACGGGCCAGAGACATAGCTCAGTGACTAAAAGCCCTGGCTGCTCTTACAGAGGACGAAGCTTTGGTTCCCACTCCAATCGGGATCTGACAGCCCCTTCTGGCCTCCTCTGGCATTGCACACACATGACACATACATGCTGGCAAAACACTCCTCATACACATAGGATAAAACTAAATTTCTTTTTCAAAGTTAATGTTAAAAAAAAAACCAAGCAAACAAATACCTAGGTGCTGGGGTGGGGTAATTCTAAGGACCTGTCCATCCCATAGCCATTGAAGGGTGCAAGCCACACCCTGTTGGAGATTCATTGGACTTCATCTCTGTTTTCCTTCCCTAAATCAGACCAATTTAATCTGAGAGAGATCCCACCAGCCTGATGTCAGGGGACAGTATTTTCCTTCAATATCTTAGCAGCTTGCTGGGAATACAGGACTGGCAGGAAGGACATGATGGGAAAGTATTGATGACAATCTCATTTCTAACCCCTTACCATGCTCACAGTTGGTAGATCAGAGACTATTGTGCTGCACAATTTAAACTATCTAAAATATCTGTCCCCAGCTTGACTGGATATTCCGTAAGGATAGAAACTGTGTGTTGACTTCTGTTCCCAGGACAGCACAGGTCTTTAGGTATGTGGCTACAAATCTGGCCATATCTACTGAGCAGCGTGATTGACATGGCCCTGGCAGGTCTGATGCTGGAGTGGACATGGGACACATATCCAGGTAAGTGATTCCTCATATTTGTGGACTGGTGACCAGATACCATTCTTCAGTCCAGAGCTCAATCAAGGCTGTCCTGCCCAAGCCATGACTCCCAAGAGTTATCGTGTGACCTAGAGAGCAAGAGATCCGGTAGAGGAAAGTTAGAGAAAGCAACAGGGAGCCAGCCATTCCAGCATGCTTGAGAGCCAGGACATGCAGGTCACTGCTGTCAGTCCCATTCACCTAAGACATTCTAAGCTGAGTAGTGCAGCCCGGTAACCCATGCAAACATGAATCAGACAAGCCTCATCATTTGCTTCTGAGTCCCTACACAAATATCTAACACAGTGATCAGCCTTTCAGGCCACAAACCCAAACCTGTAACATTATGGCACATATCCCAAGCTCTGTGGTGGGTCTCACTTTTCAAGTCTTAAATGTACTCAGAATGGCTATCTCCCTTCCTGGCCTACAGACAGGCTGCTCTGGTTTCTAGATAGCCAAAATTTCTCTTGCTGTATCTCCTTGGGTTCTATGAAAATCCCCACTTTCAGAACCCCAAAGCCTGTCTTTGCCTCTGTTTGTTGGCCTGCTTGCTGTGACTATTTGAGCTAGTGGGGGGGGGTGCTGCTCCTACAATGTCACTCATCTGTGCAGATGGTGGTGACAACGCCATGCAACTAATTAGCCATGACACACATGGAAACTGCTAAAGAGTTTGATAAAATTTTAATTACCCCTGTTTTGTGGGTCAGGCAGCAAACCATGATAGTAATAATCCTCTTGGGTACTGTCACAGTGGACAGAGTCACTTGACTAGAGGAGGGCATGCAGGAACTGCAAGGAGTTAATGACTGTGTAATGACTGTGAGAGTTGGCTGGGTGACAGTCTGAGGATGAAGTGGTAGGCAGAGTGGCTACTATTCCTGGAATTCAGATAGGAGAGAGGCCTCCCTGAGTTATCTAACAAACTTTACCAATTCTCTACTTTTCTTAGTTTATTTCTTATCTTTTTGTTTTTGTTTGGTTTGGTTTGGTTTGGTTTGGCTTTTTAAGACAGGGTCTCCCTGTAGCCCCAGCTTGTCTGGAACTCACTATATAGACCAGACTGGCTGCAATTTCACAAAGATCCATGTGCATTTATTTGCCTCCTAAGTGCTGGGATTATACCCAGCTTTTCTTAGTTTTTTGAGCTAGGGTCTCATCCTGGTCTGAAATTCAGTATGTGGCCCAGACTGGCCTTGAACTCCTGATCTTCCTGCTTCCACATCCTGAATGCTAGAACTGCGGGTGTGAGCTGCTGTACCCTGTTCCACTGACATGTTCTAAAGTACACTCACTCTAAGCAAAAAGGAGGAAACCAAGGAAGGCAGAACAGCAGGAGTTTTTCCTAGAAGGACAAGCAGACCCTTAACATCAGTCCCCTGAGTAAGGACAGATCCAGAAGGACTATCTGGGATGCATTCTCATGGCTCACAAATCCCACCTTGAGGTACTACCATCTTGCTTCCCCAGGGCTCCCATGATCCCTTTGCTGCCCAGGGTGAAGGAGAAAGAGGAGGGAGGAGAGGATGAAGTTGTCTTCCCTGATACCTTCGTGGTTTTGACCTTGTGTCCACTACTGCAGCTCCACCCTGACAGGTCTGGGAGCACCTTACACTCCTCCTCTGGCAGACAGGGCTCCATCTGACACCACCACTTCTGCAGGACGATGGAGGCTGTGAAGAGGAAGATGCGGTTCTAAGCTCTATGAACAGGGCACAGCACTGTTCACAGTTGCAGGTGGTCTACGAATGTACTGTGCCATCTTTCCATTCCGTCTCTCTACATTGGGCTGCCCAAAGAGGCAACATTGAACTCAGGCTGAGGCTGGGGGACTTGATCAATTTTCATCACTGCATCGCACCAAGAGGGGAGAAGAATGTCAGCCAGGAGGTAGGCAAAGTTGCCTCTGAGGCACCTGTGTCATTAGCGCAGAGGCACTATCTTCAGGACCCCTCCTTAGTATGTGCAATCTAGTGCCCAAGCCGTGCGCAAGCAGGCATGTGTGAGAACATGATTGTGGACAGAGAAAGAGAGTATGTGAGGTAAGAGATCACACATGTCCACAAGGAGAAGGTAAAGGTAGACTGAGAGTGAGGTGGGAGCATGCATAAAAGGATGCCCCCTGGAGGAGTATGTGAGGCAGAGGACTTGGTGTGAGGGAATGCATCCTGTGAGTATGCAGCAGGTGGCAAGTACGTTGGAAGGGCTAGGTGTAACAAGAGCTTCCTCCTCTATGACACAGGAAAGGTCATGTCTGCCCTCTCCCCACAGAGGGTGCCCATTATTTGAGACTGATCACGAAAGCCCTGAGATAGTTTGAAACTGGATCACCAGCAGATGGTGAGGCTTGAACAGACCTCCTTATCTCTGCTCAGGGCCTCCTCACCTGCCTGGCCGCCCAGGGCCTGGCCTCTCACTCACCATCCACGCAGGAGGGCTTTGCCCGTGTGGTGCCGGCCACCTGGCCAGAAAAGCAAGAGCATTTGACAGTCTGGGAGCGCTCTTCAATGCGGTTCCGATTGCAGCAGCGGTGAGCAGCAATTACCTCGCAGCTGCCCTGCTTCACAAGAACTGATGGGGAAGGCAGAAGCTCAGGAGACCCAGGCTGCTCCCCTCCTCCCACCCTGCTGGTCCTCAAGTCCCTCGTCCTGGCTTGAAGAAGGCGATTTAAGAGATTTTCAGCACAGGTCGTGTTTCCTAGCATAGGGTGAAGGCCAGAGTCATATCTTCATTAACACACAGACACACAGACACAGACACACACAGACACACAGACACACAGACACACAGACACACACACACACACACACACACACACACACACACACACAAAAGGATTTCCAGTGGTAAGAGGCAGCAGATGCAACCTTTGTGTTTTCTGCCCAGCAAGGCCACTCTTATCACTCTTTGATAGAGTCAGGCCCATGGGCAGAAGAAAGCTGGAGTTACACACCAGCCCCCCACCTTCCACTTTCTCAGGGTAAGGGCAAGGGCCCCAGTGCTTACAATGTGTGGGGAGGATCATCTGCTTACAGAGGCTTTAGCCATCCCAGAAGGAAAACCCCAGAATTAGGCCAGGAAGCTAGACTTAAGCTTCTATCTGAAGGCCTCTCACTGAAAACACCTTCCCCCAGGAAGGGATGGTAGCAGTGGGTCTACCCCAGGCCCTCTCTGGACTGGGTAGCAGAAGGGGCAGAGTTTCCTAGGTGATAAACATAGGAGTCACCTCTGGATTTTACTGTCTGAGATCTGCCTGCTTGGTGGACTGGGTATCTTTTGGGTATCTTCCAGATCTCCAGGTGTCCTAGGAAATCCCTTCCCCAGTTCTATCACCTCCCCCAAACCTGTGGCAGCTGGAGGCTGCAAGGATGCTGAGGCCAGGCGGGTCCACAGCCAGGCCAGACACAGTGCTAGCACCCAGCTACCTGGGTTCCAGTTGCTCATGGCCTTCTCACTCATCCTGTGGAGAGAAGTGCATACCCTGCTCAGCTCCTGGCAGGAGCTCCCTCAGTGCCCAGCCTCAGCCCCTTTTCTATCCATGCCCTGGGAGGGCCATGAGTAAGTAGGATACATACCTTGTCCCCAGGCAGTTCACAGCCTGGCACGATGTCACTGTAGGAAGTGATGAGTGGCACAGAAGGACCAGGGAGCAAGAAGGAAGAGCCTATAGAGGAGACATTAAAGAGAGATCTGCAGAGTGAACTAGAGGGCTGTGCTGTGGGATGAACAACAATGCCACCTCCCACTTTTTGAGCTCCTGACCCAGACACTTTACATGTGTGCTCTTGAGCACTTTCCACCGCACAAAAGATTGCTATTACCTATTTTACAAATGAACAAACGGAAGCTCAAAAAGCCTGAGCACAGCCCAAGCAACCATTAGTAAAAGAGTGAAATGTACTGTAGTGAATCTATGCAAATGCAGTCCCTTCCAGACAGCCGGGAACACAGAATACAACACAACACAACAAAAATACTGGGGAAATGTTTTACAATAATGTGTATAGTGAGAACCATTGCAGAGTTCACTCTCCAATGATAACCCAGCCTCACAGGAGGGGAGACAGCAACATGTAGAATGGTGCGTACACAGTATACAAATGTTACTTGCTATTTGTACACTGGCTCTGGAAACTACACAAATGCTAACACTACTGTTTGCCACTAAAAAGGGGAATTTGTTAGTGGGCTAGAAGGTGAAAGTTGGAGGAAGAATTATTTTCCTACCAATTTTTTACTTTTTAAATTTCAAACTGTGGGAATGTAATAGCAGTGTAATTCAATTTGAACACAATTTAAAACTTTAAAAGGAAGAAATGAAGGCTGGGCATGGTGGCATATGCTTGTAATCTTAGAACACAGGAGGTGAAGGTAGAAGGATCATTGGAGGTGCGAGGCCAGCCTGGTCTCATAGTGAGTTCCAGGCTAGCCAGGCCTATCTAGTAAGACCCTGTCTCAAATACCAAAAACAAAATGAACAAACAACAACAACAACAACAACAAAACCAGGGCCAAGGGAGACAGCTCAGTGAGTAAGAACTCTAGCTTTGAAATCATGATGACCTCAACACTCATATAAAAAGCCAGGATAGGATCACACGAGCTTGCTGACCAGCCCAGCTCTAGGTTCACCCAATGTTCTCCTCTGGATTCCACATGGGTTCAACACCTGCAAACACATGCATATACCATACCCACATACTCAAAAAAAAAAAAAAAAATGAGGGGTAAGGTGGCTCACACTTTTAGTCCCAGCGCTGGGGAAGCAGAGGCAGATAGAGGCACAGGGACTGGAGAGATGGCTCAGGGGTGGGAGCACTGGCTGCTCTTGAAGAGGACCCGGGTTTGATTCCCAGCACCCATATGGTGGCTAACAGCTGTCAGTAACTCCAGTTCCAAGAATTCAGTGCCCTCTTCTGACCTCCACAGGCATTGCACAACATGGGTGTGTCTATCTACATGCAGGTAATACACTCATACACATAAAATAAAAATAATAAATAAAATCTTTAAAAAAAGAGAAAGAAATGACCCTAGACTAATAGAAATTAAATCACTTGCCCAAGGTTGGCCAGCAGGGAAACAGGCCCCAGAAGACTGCCTGAGGCTCACTGCTTTCTTCGCCTTTTCTTTCTCCTCTAGCCTCCTATGAACCAAATAGAGCCTCTCACATTCAGCCAAGAACGACAGAGAATGCTACAGAAAGAGAAACACAAAGTAGCTTCCCAGTCACAGAAGGGACCTGGAGGAACTGCAGGAGGCCACAGGGCCTGGAGCTCAGGGGTTGGCTGGATTCACTGCCTTTGCTCTTCTGCTAGGCTCTGGGGCATCCTGTGCTTTCTCAAGTTCCAGCCCACTTCTGGGAATATAAGTGGTCAAACCAAAGGCCAAGATCCAACTGCTTCCTAGGAAGGAATGTCCACCCCCCCCTTTCCATCTCCAACTCCAACAACTGCTCACTCACCTGTCCTGGGATAATTCAGCTGCTGTTTGTTCATCTGCTAGCCTCAGACTCATTCCACCTGGACAAGTAAGGAAGGATTTCAGGATGGATAGAGCCCAGAACCCTTTCCAAGAATACTTGGAACAGAACAAGGGAGTGGGCTGGACATTAAAGAAAGTCCAACTTGGGCTGTTCCCATGGCAAGGGAGGTTACCTCTGCTCTGGGCACCTGTTCCCACTTCCTTCCCACTTCCCCAGACTCTGGGAACACAAGGGGCAGGTTATCCTGAAAAGAACGCTGGGTGGTTTGATTCTCTGTCCCAGGAGTGAAGCAGGGGTCAGAGGGATCTAAGAATTGTTGCTGTCATCTCTCTGGTCTTGGGATAGAGTTCCCGTGCAGAATCTGCCAGCTTTCTGTTGGGAAGAGGCCTCTGGGGAAGATTCCAGAAGTCAAGAAATCTTCCTTGCCTCCATCCCCAAACTTTTCACATTCGCTTTTTGGATTCTTATGAAGCTGGCTTAATTTTGCTATTGTCACTCCCGTTCCCATTCCAGGCTGGAATAGCGGTGCAACAAGTCCCTGTCTCAGGACACAGCACTTGAGAGCTTCTTTATGCTCCCCAAGGGCCTCTCCTCACTCAGCCTCCAAAGAGAAGTAGAAAGGAAACACACAGGATACGGAGCCCAGGAAGGCCTGGAGGGAGTAGCCAGATGGATGGAGAGCGTGGTGCCAAGACTCCAAGAATGAAAGTGCTCCCATTCTTCTAGGCGGTCTCTTTCCATCGCTCGACCTGGAGTCCGAATTTTGAGTATCACAAACGCAGCTGTCTTCTCTTGGGGCACCCTGTTTCTGGCTGAGTTCTGATAGCCTCCCATCCAACTTATCCATCTCTCCTCTGGCGTACCTCATCTGGCGTACCAGATCTGAGGGAGGTGGGGACACAGGAGTCCTATCTCAAAAGGGGGTTGAAGAAGGAAGCTTCTGGGTTTGTTCTTTAGTCTGTACTCTATCTCAGTTTCCCAGGTTGTTTACCCCAAGTCCCAATTCAGACTACGGTGAGGCTGAACTGAACAAGCAGCCTGTAAACCAGCAAGGGTTGCAGATGTGGACAAGAACTTTGCGTCTTACCTTGCTTGCTCCCGCCCTGTTCCAGCACCGATTTGGACCTCGGAATTTTTGCACCTGGTGCCTACCTGCTCCACAGCGGTGACGCTGGTTCAAACCGCTAGCCTGAAGTCTTCGCTGCCTCTGAGCTTGGGACCAAGATTTCCAAAGCCGGGCTCCAGGAAGGAGCGGCCAGCCTGGGTGCTGTCTAGTCCGGAGCTCTGTCCGTGTTCGCCCACCAAGTTGCTGCGCCCTGGGGATCCCAGGCTCTGGCTAAGCTGGCATCCGGAGTGCTCCGGGCCGGCGCCCTGTCAGCCCTGCCAGGTTCAGCCAGGTCCTCCCAGACTTGCGGCCCTCAGGCTAGTGAGCCGCCTCCGCCGCCGCCTCGGGAGTCATCCCTGCTGCTTCAGTCCTGGCGGCCACCGCCGCCTCCTTCGCGACAGCGCCGGGCGGTCTTTGGGGCTGGTGGGGACAGCCGGCACGCAGCGGCCCCTGGTGGCGCAGGGCGGGAGGAGAGAAGAGAGGCCCGCAGCATCGGTTCTCAGGGGCAGCTCTCTGGGCCAGGACCCTATAACTGGAGCAGGTCTCTTAAACCCTCCACTTGTCTGGTGGCCCTTAGTCGGATGACTCAAGGGAATTGGGAGGTTCTCCAGGCTCAGGAGGGCTTGGAGTGAGGTCTTTGCCCAGACCCGCAGGGGTTCTGAGCTTTGAAGATTCTAGATCTTCATTGTCCATATGTTATTTAAGTTTAAACCTAAGTTTAATAAAGAAAATTTAAAATTCAGTTCTTTAGGTCACATATAGTGGCTCACACCTGTAATCCTAGAACTTTGGGAGGGCTGAAGCAGGAAGATTTGCTGCCCTCACAGCCCGAAGGACTATGGGAGGTTAGGAGGGTAGAGTGCCAGGCTGGAGGACTTCAAGAGGCTAATAAAGGGCCCCTGTGGATGATGACTAGAGTGTGGGGACCACCCTCTGACCTAGTATCTCCATTAGAAAGATGGTAAATAAACCCAGCTGTGAAATTTTTAACAGGGTTATATTTTGGATGCATTAGACACATGAGAGCAGAGGTGTTTTGTGCAAATTTGTCTCTTCACAGGATGCGTGCAAACTCCCCTTAATGTAAGGAGGCTTTGGGGAGGGGATAAAGTGTGGTGGGAGAAGCAAGGAGTGTGTGATTCCAGTTCTGGGTCCTGAGCATGTGGCCTGGGACAAGAGGGCCTTTTTCTCCTTTTTTAAAATCTATTTTTATGACATTTATTTATATTCTCTCTCTCTCTCTCTCTCTCTCTCTCTCTCTCTCTCTCTCTCTCTCTCTCCTCTCGCTCTGTATGTGTGTGTGTACACGTACAAGCCACAGCTCATGTATGGAGGTCAGAGGACACCTTGAGGGAATTAGTTCTTTCATTCTACCATGTAGATACTGGGGATTGAACTCAGGTCATCAGGCTTGGCAACAAGTTCCTTTACCTGCTGAGCTATCTTGTCAGCTCCAGACTCAGTTCCTCTTTCTATTTTTTTTTTTTATTCTTTTGGTCTTTTTGAGACAGGGTCTCCCTATAGCATCAGCTGGCCTGGAATTCACTATGTAGACCAGGCTGGCCTTGAACTTACAGAGATCCGCCTGCCTCTGCCTCCCAATCTTTTTATTCTTTATTCAACATCTCATTATGTAGTGCTGGCTGACATGGAACTCACTGTGTAGCCTAGGTTGGTCTCTAGCACCTGGTCCTCCTGTCTCTATCACTGTCTCCTGAATGCTGGAATTACAGGTGTACAGAAGTATACCACCATGCTTAGCTAAAGTGGGCTGTCCTATTCCCCTCCCTGGCTCAGGTTTTCGTGCTCCCCTGCCTGAGTCAGTCACTCAGGAAATTCTGTCAGCTCTCAGCAGAGAAAATATCTCACAAGTCTGCTTTTCCCACTCCGCCTCTTTCCTCACACCTTCTGCTGCTTTGAGGTGAAGACCTCCTCATTAGGATGGGGCAGTCTGAGGACGGAGGATGTGTGATGGTTTAGGAATAGGTGTGGGACTCAGAGGGACAAGAGCCCTGGAGTTTGGGTATGGCTGAGCACCTGAGCCCAAGGGATCCATGGGCATTCTTGCTCATTGCCTGGTGCTGGAGCCAGGGGTCTCCAGGTGGCCCACTTTTGCAGCCACACTGTGGATGCTGTGAAGAGCAGGGATGCTGCATGACACTGGGAAGTGATAAGTAAACTGTCCCAGAAACACTGAATAATATGAATAACCGAGGGTTGCTTTCTCTTCAGTCTGTGGCTTCCCACTGATGCAATGCCATTTATCAGACGGTTGGCTCCAGTTTTTCTAAAACAGGAGGAAAGCATCCATAGCGGCAGTGTGTTCTTTGTCCCTGGCTGCCTTTACTGTTATGTCTTTGAGTCTGATTGTTGACTTTCCACTCCACCTCCACCCAGTGATTTGACTTTCTCTGGCTCTCCCAAGCTCAGTTAACCCCCGAAGCTCAGCAAGTCTCTGAAATTAAATGCCCACTGTGGGATTCTGATTTAGAAATGGCCAAGAATGTCACAACTTCTAGGGGCCACAGGTTAGCCCAGGGCGCAGAATGAGGTATGGTCAGGCAGTATCCAGAGGTGGAGTCCCAACTACCAACAGGGAGTCAGTCAGTGGTCTCTTACAACCTCTCCAGTTTGCATTAGTACCACAAGGACTTGACTTCGGTTGAACTGTATGTTGGGGGCAAATGTGGGAGCCGTAATACCGTGTTCAGGGACAGAGCTCTCTAGGGAGAAAGAAGACATAAAACACCCCACTGGTGCTGGGTTGGGTCCTAAGGTTCCAGATTGTGGGCTTTCCTGACGGGCAAGCAAGCGCTTAGCCTGGCCTTTGTCTCCCCCTGGTGGCAACCAGAGAACTTGCTCAAACATCCCGAGACTGCTCCCAGCTTCTGCCCTCAGGGGAGGGTGGCAGCGCAGGAATCCCACTCCTCTGCCACCCTCTCCTTCCTTCTAATTCCAGGGATTAGGTCCTTCTGTCAGAACAAGAGCCATGGATATAGCTCTTTAAAGTGGCTGTGTGATCTCTTGACAAGTCTAGTAAAATAACAAGTGTCCAACTCCTTACCCAGTAAAATAGGTATAACTAGCAGCCACCTTGACGGTTGGTGTAAGTTGTAGTGACCTAATGAAGGGAACGTGCTTTGTTCAACAAATCGCAGTTAGCTATTATATTGTTATTCTAACTGATTAATAGAGGTGTAAGCGCAAGCGCAAGCGCGCGTGTGTGTGATGCTTCTGAGAAAGTGGAGTGGGAATCACTAGTTCTCCCAGGTGTGGAGAGGGTCTTCAGAGGGAACAGCGCCTTCAGGAGCCCAGGATTTAACCCAGGATCCCGACCCAGGGCAGTCTGCTGCACCGGGCGTGGCAAGCACCCCAACAGCACCAGCTCTCGGCTCTCACTCGCACTGTCGCCCTAGCAGCCTCAGTCTGAGGAGGTGTCACATCAAGTGTTTCACACCCCGCGGCTCTTAAGTCACCAGCTTCAAAACTCTCCACGCTGTCTGGCCAACCCGAACCTAGCGCAAGGAGGCCGCCCCCCTTGCTCCCCCTTCCCGTCACAATAAGAAAGTTCTAGAGGATGTCTAACCTACAGCGTGATTGAAATTATGTTTCCTTCTCTCCACTCCCTTCCCGCCATAGACCCTTCCCCTGATACACTGGGGCGGGACGTAGCCGGGATGGGGCGGGGAGTCGGTGGGGCGGTTCCCGGGTGACCTAGAGCCGAGGCTGATTTCTCCGGGATCTGGAGTGGGCACCGCCCACCTGGAGCCCTAGGGGTGGGGCCTTCCTGGGGGCGGGCCCAAGGCCGAGGGCGGGGCAGGGCGGCAGCATGCTAAACCGGGTGCGCTCGGCGGTGGCGCACCTGGTGAGCTCCGGTGGCGCTCCGTCCCCGCGCCCCAAGTCCCCCGATCTGCCTAACTCGCCCAGCTCGACCTCGGCGCCACCCGCCGTCGCTCCAGAAGCGCCCAAGAGCCCTTCGGCGAGGCCTGGGAACTGGAGCGGGGCGCCCGCGAAGACCTCCGAGGCTCGAGCGCGCTTCTCCAGACCAACCTTCCTGCAGCTGAGCCCCGGGGGGCTGCGACGCGCCGACGACCACGCGGGCCGGGCAGTGCAAAGCCCCCCGGACACGGGCCGCCGCCTGCCCTGGAGCACAGGCTATGCGGAGTGAGCTCCCCCCGGAGCACCCTGCTGAGGATGGGACTCCCACCCTTCCCCTGCTTCCCGGCCGCTGGGATGCGTCCCTAGCGTTGGGGCTCCCGGGACCTCCCCAGGGGACCCTCACCCCCTCCTAGCCCGATCTGCGGTGTGGTACAGCCTCGATCGCCTTCTTCGGGACCTTGACCACCCTTCCTTTCTCGCTGTCTCAGGACCCATCCTCTTCCTGAGCCGGGAGGGCGCGGGGCGCGCCTCAGGGGATGACTTGGCGGTGGCGACCTGCCGTTCACAGGCTAAGGGAGGGGAGGTTCGGGAAGGAGTGGGGTTCCCTCTGACCTGGAGATAGCGGGTGGAAAGACTCCCTTATCGGCTTCCCGGCCCTAGCGCCCCAGTTCCCTGTCCTTCTTACGGTTCCCCTCCCCCTCCACACCCAGAAATAGCCAGCCACACCAGAAGGCCGCCGGCTTTGCGAGGCGGGGGAGGGGTCTACCCACTGTGCGCGACGGTCCCCTTTAGGCGTTCACCTGCTGACCGGACTGGCGCTGACCTGGGCGACCCACGGGGCTAGGTGCTCCCAGGATATGTATATTTTTAGTGCCTCTGCGGGGAAAGTCAAGCTCCGAGGGAGACGGGCCACTGAGATCGCAGAGGGAGGTGGCTAGTGGCCTCTCAGCACCTCCTTTTTACCTTCCCACGTGGGAGGAGTTTTGGCTTAGTGACTCTTACCCAGTCCAAATGGGCCTACACTTAGTCTTATCCCACTCAGGCAGGATCACTTCCTCACTGCTTGAGGAGCAGAAACTTTCACCCGGTGTTTTTAGGGTGAGGGTGGATCTGCCCATGAGTGACCAAGCAGGTTGAGACTAAAGGTGGGATGTAGGATTTTGATCAAGGCGGAAGTAGAACTTAACTGCCCCCATCCTGGGTAGCACTACTACCCAGGAAGTCTCCTTTGCCAATGATGGGGGAATTGAGGCAGGCCTGTGAGGTGGTACATTGCACAACCCAGACAGTACTCCTTGCTGGCCCTGCCTTCTCTTCTTCCCTCTGGCTGGGATCCCAGGCAGCTGTGACCTTTCTCAGCTTGGCCAGCAGGCAGGAGACGATGTGTTGTGTGTCTAAGGTAGGGGTTATTCCAGGACCTGGTCTGGTGTCCAACCTGATGTGATCACTCTGGCCTGGCAGGGTCATCAATGCGGGCAAGAGCCGGCACAATGAGGACCAGGCTTGCTGCGAGGTGGTGTATGTGGAAGGTCGAAGGAATGTTACAGGAGCCTCCAGGGAGCCTAGCAGTAGCCAGGTAGGATTCCATCCCCTTTCCTAACCTCCAGGGACATGGTGATACCTCTCCCAGGGACTCCAGGCATTAATTTTAAATCTGAGAAGTGTGTGAAGGAGCTGGCTCCTAACTTACTAGCTTTCTATTCCTGCCACAGAACACTTAGGTGACTTTGGTTAGATCCTCCCATGCCGGTATGAATGTTTACTGTTGCACTTAAAATGTGGATGCTAATGTGTGGATGATCTAATAAATCATCAGTGCTGATCTTTGCATCTTTCATTTCTGAATTTGGCTTTTTCTGAGGCTCTCCTTTCTCGACACATAGTAGAGCCTACACAAATAAGTGAATAAATTGAATTTGCCTTAGTGACACACTCAGAACTCCTATCTGATGTTTATGTGGATTCCCACAGACTTGTTTTTCTCTCTGTACCCTCCTCCCTACTGACCTCCAACTTTTCCTTCACCAGGGGCTCTGCTTCTACTACTGGGGCCTGTTTGATGGGCATGCTGGTGGTGGAGCGGCCGAAATGGCCTCCCGGCTCCTGCATCGCCATATCCGGGAGCAGCTAAAGGATCTAGTAGAAATACTTCAGGACCCCTTGCCACCTCCTCTCTGTCTCCCATCCACCCAGGGAACCCCAAGTTTCTCTGATTCATCTCACCTGGTGGGCCCTCAGTCTTGTTGGTCTCCACAGAAAGAAGTGACCCACGAGAGCCTGGTAGTGGGGGCTATCGAGAATGCCTTCCAGTTCATGGTAAGTGAGTGGTCTGTACCAAGAATGTGCTAGTCTGATGCTCTGGTTAACTCTGTGTGGAGCCAGTGGGTAGCCCCTAGGACCCACAAACGCATTTGAGATCCTGAACAGAGCAGACCTTGGTTCAGAGCAAGAGGACATTACCCCACTGTGGTCCTCCTCTCTTCAGGTGTGGCTTGACTGGGCCAGGTCATTTCTGCAAAGGGGAATAGGAAGGGTGACTGTGTGTGTGTGCCAGGAGTTCTTCTGTTCCCTTTGACCCTTCCTCACTTGACAGGATGAACAGATGGCCCAGGAGCGGCGTGGCCACCAAGTGGAGGGGGGCTGCTGTGCACTGGTTGTGGTGTACCTGCTAGGCAAGATGTATGTGGCCAATGCAGGTGACAGTAGGTATGTGGGAGGAGGGCTTTGAAAGAGGCTACATAAGGGAACGTGCTTTCCCAAATGAAGGAATAGAAGAGAGATGGTGGGGGTGGGGAGTTAAGCTTAAAAGAATGGAGGGAGTCAGTGGGATGATGGCTATAAAGAAAGGCCTGTCGGGCGTGGTGGCACATGCCTTTAATCCCAGCACTTGGGAGGCAGAGGCAAGCGGATCTCTGTGAGTTCAAGGCCAGCCTGGTCTACATAGTGAGTTCCATGACAGCTAGGGCTACAGGGAGACCCTGTCTCAAAAAAAAAAAAAAACCCAAAAAAAAAAAAGAAAAAAAAAAAAAACCCAAAAAAACAATGAACGAGTTCCAGGCCAGCTGGGGCTACAGGGAGACCCTGTCTCAAAAAAAAAAAAAGACCAAAAAAAAAAAAGTCAAAAAAATAAAGCCTGAAATATCCATGAAGGGAGGAGGATGGTGGCTCCACTGAAGAATCCTAAGTTTCATTATGCTGGTCTTTCTAGAATTCTCCATGAGAGGGGACTGAGGAGAGCCAGACTCAGACTCAGTCCTTTTCTGTCTCTGGGCAGGGCCATCATTGTCCGGAATGGTGAAATCATTCCAATGTCCCGGGAGTTTACCCCGGAGACCGAGCGCCAGCGTCTTCAGCTGCTTGTAAGTAGGAGTCAAACGTACTACTCCATTCTTTTGCATGTCCAGTGTCCCTGTCCCCTGTGTCCTTGAGAGCTCTTACACTCCTAACCACACACAGAAAGCTCTCTACTGGGAGCATCCTGGGAAGGTGCTGTATGCACTGTAGATGCAGGGTGAGCTGGAGGGATGATGTAGAAGGAAGAAGCCTGGATTGGCCTGGGCTGCCATTGTGGCCCCTGTTGAGAAAGGAAGTGGAGTCAGAAGTGGCAGAAGGGAACAACAAAGGCCTTTGAAAGGCAGTGTCTTAGTGCTTCCCCATGTGGGCTCTGGAACCAGACTGCCTGGGACTGAATCCTGCTCTGTGTACTTTGCTAATTGTGGGACCTCTGACAACTCTCTTCACCTCTGTGTATCAGCAGTTCGTGCCTCACAGGCTATTGTGAGGAGTGAGTGAGTTAATTTATGTTAATATTAGAACATTGTATGGCATATGGTAAACTTCCTTTAAGGATTTGCTGTAATTAACATCTACATGTTAATGTAGTGATATGAGTGTAATGCATGCTCCCTCTCCTTTGTCTGGGCCCTTCCCAACTCCAGGGATTCCTGAAACCAGAGCTGCTGGGCAGTGAATTCACCCACCTTGAGTTCCCCCGAAGAGTTCAGCCCAAAGAGTTGGGGCAGAAGATGCTGTACAGGGACCAGAACATGACTGGCTGGTAACACTTCCCTCAGAGCTAGGGCTGTTCCCATGGCAATTGCAGCCAGTCCTTAACCAGCAGGAAGGTGGAAGCTGGAGGCTGGGTCAGGCTGGGAGTTGGAGGATGTGGCCCTTCTAAGGAAGGGTTTGTGTGAGGGTGTGCTGGTCCTAGGGGATAGAGGCTTGCCACCTGGGTGATACCGCCTCTACTCCTCCCTCCCCAGGGCCTACAAAAAGATTGAACTGGAGGATCTCAGGTTTCCTCTGGTCTGTGGGGAGGGCAAAAAGGTAAATTCCATGGTAGAGGTGGGAGAGGGCAGGAAGACCCACCATGACTTGTATAGGGAGGTGGAGGTTGTACCTGACAGTAGGGTGAGATGGCTCTGTAGTTTCTATGGAGAGGAACTAAATAGCAGCATGCTTCCTTATTTCTCTCAGGCCCGGGTAATGGCCACCATTGGGGTGACCCGAGGCTTGGGAGACCACAACCTTAAGGTCTGCAGTTCTACCCTGCCCATCAAGCCTTTCCTCTCCTGCTTCCCCGAGGTGAACACACCTTCCCTCCTCCAGAAGACTGGGGCTGGCTTTCACCCAGGGTCATTTTAAGAACCCCAAGTTCCCTGTCACACCTCTGCCCTTTCTACCCTCTTTCCCTACAGGTAAGAGTATATGACCTGACACAGTATGAGCACTGTCCAGATGATGTGCTAGTCCTGGGAACAGATGGCCTATGGGATGTCACTAATGACTGTGAGGTAGCTGCCACTGTGGACAGGGTGCTGTCAGCCTATGAGCCCAATGACCCTAGCAGGTAGGGGTTGCCTGGCAGGGTGATGGGTTGGGGGGATGGCATTGGTGAAGGAAGGGGCCAAGGGAAGCAATGCTTGGGGACCCATGTGGGCCTGTATATCTGTCTTCTCATGTACATGTTGGTACATGAATGTGCACATGTGCTCCTGGCAGGTATACAGCTCTGGCCCAAGCTCTGGTCCTGGGGGCCCGGGGCATCCCCCGGGACCGTGGCTGGCGTCTCCCAAACAACAAGCTGGGTTCCGGGGATGACATCTCGGTCTTCGTCATTCCCCTGGGAGGGCCAGGCAGTTACTCCTGATGGGCTCAGCCCCATTCTTTCCACCACCATCCCAGCCTCACCACACTTACCCTTCTCCCAGTCCAAGTTCTGAAGTTGTGCCCCTGCCTCTTTAGTGGCCATTTAATTGACAGGATGCCCACTAGATCCAGAATTACAGCAACTGGTAAATAAAGCTGATGGATAAAGGTGTGTGTCATTATTTGCTTTAACTGGAAACCGAAAAGTGGGTGGTTGGAAGAAGCACTAGAACATTCCTAAAAATGTGGCTTCCCCAGATTCTTTCTTCCTCTGTCCTCTTTTCCCGCTCCACATACTGCCATGAGTCTCATCTGCCTCTGTGGCTTCATCCATCTCTGATGTCTGCCAAGGCTGCATATCTAGCCCAAACCATTACTGAGCTCTAGGCCCATATGGCCCAGTTGTCTCCCAAACATCTCTGAGATAGTAGCTCTCCTGTGCTTCAGGTCAACATACTTAGAACTGAATTTACAGTTTCCCCCATAAACATATTCTTTCTCCTGCTTCATTCTCTCAGTGGGTGCCAGCATGGCTGCTCAAGTTAGAAATCTTGCAATTGGTCACTGTTGACTTGTGTATCTTCATCACAGTTCTCAGAATCACTTCAGTCATGTACCATACAATGCTTCAGGAAATCGCCTGTTTATGTGATGGTATATGCCCTGTAGCCTAGCTGTATCCTAGGTTGTACCATCTCTGTTTGTGTAAGTACAATTATTGCTGTTCACCTAATGATGAAATGATGAAATCCCTTATCAACACATTTCTCATAACATCTCTATTATTAAGGGATATATGGCTGTATTGTTGACTATTTAAAAAATATTTCTAGGGCTGGAGAGATGGCTCAGTGGTTAAGAGCACTGGCTGCTCTTGCTGAGGACCCTGGTTTAGTTCTCAGCACTCATATGGTGGGTAACGACACCCTCTTCTCATCTCTGTGGGTACCGTACACAAGTGGTACACAACATGAATACAGGCAAAACACTCATACACATAAAATCAAGATAAATAGATAATTGTTTTGCCCACTTACCTCCACTCCTGTCATATCTCTGACCACGGCAAATAAGGAGTTTCGTGATCGGCTACTGTTTCTTTCTCCAGCTTCATCCCCACTACCATCTTCCCGAGGGTCCGATAACTGTGGGTTTTAGAATAGCTCCAGCTTACTATTTTCAATCTACATATGTGTTCTGGACTATTTCACCTGTCCTTCAGGTTTGGGTATCCCTCAGCCCCTATATGCTGTGCATGGCAATTACTTCCTGGATTCGGTCTATAGGAGGAGCCCACAGGGAGTGGCACTTAAGAGCAGGGACTCCAAGTCTAGCTGTTTTGACCCAACACCACTGTAACTTCTCTGAGCCTCTATTTCTCAGTAAAGTATCGCCTCATAAAAACATAGTTAGTACATGTAGAACAGGCAAGGTTCATGTGGTAAGGGTTCAATAAATGTTATGCTGGAATTGTCTGCGTTCCTTATTCAGACTGATTTGGAGGTAGAAATCTTTGGCATGTAGCTCTTAGTTCATATTCAATAAATATGAGCTTTTTGAGTGAATTAAAAGGCCAGGGGGCCAAACTGTCCTGTCCATACATTTATCAAATGTATGGACTGTGCTTCAGGTCCTCTGCATGTATGTAGGTGTGTGTGTGTGTGTGTGTGTGTGTGTGTGTGTGTGTTTGAGCCCAGCTGTACTTGCAGTCTTTAGAATCTGTATGACTCCTAATATGCATTTATTCTGCAGTCTTTGTTGAATGCCTCTGATGTGCCACACGCTGGTTAGATGATGGAGAGGGCAGGCTGGAGGAATACTGGAGCAGGAGGGTGATGACATCCCCCTGGGAGCCACACAGGCCTGACTATAAATTCTTACACAAATCACAAACATTTGATGAACCATTTCTCTGAGCCTGTTTCCTTACAGGCAAAAGGGAATAGGTATACTTAATCCAGAGATTTGTGTATATAAAATACTCAGCACAAGCAAATAAAACACCCACTTCCTCAGAGCTTTACTTGGAAAGAGATAGATGTGCAGTAAATAACTATGCAGCACGTCAGATTGGGCTCAGGGTCCTCAACAGCACAATAATACAATAGGAGTAGGATCTGAGTTCCCAGTTGGGGATGCCGGAGGAAGCACTTCCACGAATGTGCTTTTAACCGAAGCTAGGGAAATTCCAGGCAAACGGAAAAGATTTATAAGGCAGTGGTAGTCGGGTACAGCAGGTCCTGAAAGGCTTTCAAGGCCAGGGATGACTTCGGGCAGCACTTGCTCGCAGTGATTCCAGGAGCAGAGTGGCAGCTTCTGCACAACCTCGTGCCCATCGGGTCCCCGGCGATGACAGGTGGGGCTGGAGCGGAGAGCTGCGTGGCCACCGGAGGGCAGCAACAGCCCTGGCTGACCCCACCCCGGGAGCCTCTCAACTTTCCCGACGCCGGTCCGCCCCCTCCGGGCCTGGAAGGCTGGGTAGAGGCCGGGCCCTGGGGATGGGGACCCGCCCGCTCCCTCCAGTTCCCTTGCAGTTCAGGCATCTCTGCGACTCTCCCTCCAGCCCGAGCCGGGCGACCCGGATCCCCAGCCCGGGTGACCTGAGCCGCCTGGGCGGGGAGCAGAGGCGGGCGTAGCCGAGGGGCCGCCCCCAGCCGACCCTCCTCCTGCCGGGTCCGCCCCGGAGCGGCGTTGGATAGCGGGGCGGGGCCCGGGTCAGTGTCGGCCTCCCGCACTGGCCGCGCAGCTGGAGGCGGCGGAGCGGTGAGTACCGGGTCCGGGCTAGGGGCGGCGGGGCGTCGTCTCGGAGGACAGCACTTTTCTTGCTTCTTCGCTCTCTCGATCTCGGGGCCCGGCTGGGGAGAGAGCTCCGGGCAGGGCGTGGGAAGGGCGCCCGGAGCCGCGGGCAGATGTTGTCGCCACCCGACTCCTGACTCTGGACCCCTGAGTCCTTTCCCTTTCCCCGCTGGTTTTTCGGGAACTCCCAGTCGGGCTGGGGATCCGCTTGCATCTCCGTATTGGCCCCAGCCCAGACGCTCCAGCCCCGGGTGGAGTATGAGGATCTGGGGCCCCAGGCCGGCGCGGGATGGGAGTTCTCGCCGGGGATGGGAATGGCGGGAATAGAGGCGGGTGCGACCATTGGGGGCTGCCGCTTCTCGGAAGGTCCGGATGCCGCCCTAGCTGGTGTTTGGAGCCCGTCTCGGGTAAGGGAGCCTGGGACGATTAAGAAAGATCCCTCTCCCCATGTTCAGACCCTGGAGGCAGGCTTGGGAGTGTTGGGGGTTGGGCTGGGGAAACTGGGGCCCAGTTCTTCCTTCACTATGGCTTTAAAGTCGAGGTAAGGGGGCTGCCTGAAGAGAGATTCATGCCTCGGGAGCACAGTACAAGGCCCCACTGGATCATCTGGGAAATCAAGAAAATGACTGAGGAGGGCCAATGTCTGGGAAGGACCCATAAGTTCCAGGCTCCACTCCAGGCCCTTCATGAGGGTCAGTGGGGCAGTTCCTCTGGGGCTGTTGTCCATGTCATCTTGGCCTTGGGCCTAATGCCCTGCCCTGGCCTCGGCCCCTAGCTCTTCTAGCCCAACCAGAGCCTAGATGAAGGGTCCTAACCTGCTGTGAAGTTCTGGCCTCTGCCTCCCACCACCTGGTGCCAGCAACCTTGCTGTGGGCGGCATGCTCATGCCAAAGTGACTAGAATTTACTGTGATAGGAATCACCCTCAGCACTGCCCACGCTGGTTGGGGTTATCTCATCCAGCCTTTATACAACTGGATTAGTAGAATAATGGGAATGAGTGGGGGAGTTGGAAGAAATCCTGTGGATCACCTGAGTAGACTTTGTAGAGATTTAATTTGCTGCAGAATGAATGTCTTCTTCCTAGTCTTTTGGGGGTGCCAGGGAGAGCCCCTTGTGGCCTGGGGAAGTATGGCTGTGTACACTAAACTATAAATTCTCCGTGACTCATGTCCTCTTCCCTCATATCCCGTTTTTTTTGTTTTGTTTTGTACGCGCGCGCGTGCGTGTGCGTGTGTGTGTGTGTGTGTGTGTGTGTGTGTGTGTGTGTAGGGGCCACCCAGGAGTCCACTGTTGAAAAGAACCAGCCTAGGGCTGGAGTATTCCACTTCCTAAAGGGCAGGCCCAGGCTGGGTATGAGGTAGTGCGATGTGAGGAGCAGGGCTCAGCCCAGCCAGACAGGATGTGGGATTGAGAGGAAAAGCCAGGTTTGGGGCTGAGATCAGGTTTCTGTCCCCTTCTTAACTTGCTCTCTGCCTGGTTGATGTTTGGACTGGTCCTCATTTGTCTCTTCTTTCGGGGCTCCTCCCAGCCCAGGCTCTAGTCTCCTCCCCCTTCCTTAAAGCCTTGACTCCATCTCCAGCTCTCAAGCTGTAGGCCTGGGAATTTCATCTACCCAGCTAATTCTTCTCTGCTGGGAAGAAGGAAGGCAAGCTGGGAAGGTGTGATGAACTGTGGGTTCGTGTGTGTTGGGGTGAGGGACACATGCAAACCCTGGGAAGCTGACTCCTTGCTTTGAGTCACAGGGATGGGTGGGCAGGGCTTAAGAGTGAGCTGGACAGAGGAAGGGGCTGTTCAGAGTGGGTGGAGGTGATTCCCTAGTGGATTACGGCTCTATGGCAGAACTGTGGTGGATGTGTGGCTCCCCACAGTGTGGTCATTGTCCCATAGGGACTGAGTGACCCAGTGTTGGTGCCAGCCCCCCCCCCCGGTGGGGGGAGCCTGCTGCCTGACAGTGAGCTTCCAGGACTGAGCCTCCTTTGTGTGACTTGGGACTTTGGGGAAGGGGAGGGGTGGGCCTGGGAAGCTAGCTGCCTGCTGCCACTGTCCTCTGCCTGGGTTTCTGTTCTTCCCATCTGTGGGATGCCATATAGGAAAGAGACTGGATATCACAGCTCTGCTTTGAGTGCTGTCCTTGCCCCTTGTAGGTCACACTCTAAATAGATGTCTAAACTACACTGGGTCTCAATATCCTACTTTGGTCAAATTGGGAAGGGCAGAGGTCTGCGAGATGGCTCAATGGGTAAAGGTGCTTGCCACTCAAACCTGATGACCCAAGTTCGAACCCTGGAACTCATATAAAGGTAGGAGAGAACTGACTCCACAAAGTTGCCCTCTGACCTCCACATGCATCTACCACCCCCAAATCATATATATATATATATTTAAATGGGAAGGCCACTGTCCTCCTAATAGGCTGCTGGGGACTGAAGAGGATAAGAGTTTTTCTCAAAATGCCCAACATTGTGAAGGCTGGGGTTGGGGGAGGCACCTAGGGGCTCTACAAGTATTCCTTGCCTTAATCACCCACCACCTGTAGCTGACTTCTTTATGACAAGGCAGGCATGACTCCTACTAAGAGACAATCTGTTCTAGACTACACCTCAGTGATCATTAAGAGTATCAAAGTTCTGTTAATGAAGTCTAACTGGAAGCTGATGGGAAAAGCAGATAAAAGCTAGGTCTTTTGGAGGCATCCCTGAGCACTCCTTGTGTCCTGGGTCCCACACTTGAATGGGTGAGATTTAAGTTCATGCTTTCTGGCTCCCAAATATTATCTTCATCCTCCCACTGCTCAATGCTAACCCATCCCTGAACAGTGATAAAGTGTTCCAAAATCTATTGTCTATAAGATTAGTTCTTGGCAGGAGCCTCCCTCATGTGAGTCCCCTCGCTCCCTCTTCCTTTGCTGGATGCCTGTTTAGAAACAGGCAAGTTGGGGGAGGGCTAGATAAGTGTTTTTGGATTTACTTGATTTTTCCCAAATTCCCACTTATCTCTTGCTTGCCAGTTCCAACCATGGCTGCCATCCGAAAGAAGCTGGTGATTGTGGGTGATGGAGCCTGTGGGAAGACCTGCCTCCTCATCGTGTTCAGCAAGGATCTGTTTCCAGAAGTCTATGTCCCCACTGTCTTTGAGAACTACATTGCAGACATTGAGGTGGACGGCAAGCAGGTGAAGGCCAAGAATTTCTTCCTTTCCTGCCTGGGAACCCTGCCCCTAGTCATGTAGGGAGCTAGTCTGCCCTTCCTTACCCATGCTGGAACCAGAAGTTAGGAAGTGAAACTGTAGCCTTTGAAAACCTGAATGTACTATCTGGTTTGACCACATACTGGCCCTGGAATCTGAGCTAAGTCCCTTTGCCTCTGGGCCTAACCTCTCCCTACTACAAAATGTGAATGAGGGCAAGATTGTCCCCAAAGGGTTGCTATAAGAACTAAATGGTGTTCACAACGGCAACTCACACTACAAAGACCAAACACATCTTTAAAAAGTTTTCAAATGCACCATTGGTTCTGTGACTGGTCAGCACAACACCTGGCACATGGCGGGTGCTCACTCAATAGATAGATGGTGGACAAGTTTACCGGAGTAATGACTTCAGAGGGCCTCTGGGTAGTAGCATTGGGACCCTCAGGCCAACTACTCAGTGGTCCTGTGTGTCAGGTGGAGCTGGCTCTGTGGGACACAGCAGGACAAGAAGACTATGATCGCCTGCGGCCTCTTTCCTACCCGGACACTGATGTCATTCTCATGTGCTTCTCCATTGATAGCCCTGACAGCTTGGGTAAGGATTTGGAGGGGATCCAGAGCCTTCAGCACCTGCTGTTTTCAGCTGTGGGAAGGGGATTCTTCTTTGCTGTGGAGACAGTGGCCTTGGGAGGGGGAAGGTGCTGCAGAGGGCTTTGAACTGTGCCAAGGGTGCTGCCCTGCTGAATAGTCTGGGACTGCTGTTGGAAAGGCCAGGGTCTTCTTTAAGTGGGGGCACCTACATTTTTGGGGATGTCTCTGCAGAAAACATTCCTGAGAAGTGGACTCCAGAACTGAAGCACTTCTGCCCCAATGTGCCCATCATCCTGGTGGGGAATAAGAAGGACCTGAGGCATGATGACTACACCAGGAGAGAGCTGGCCAAGATGAAGCAGGTGGGTGGGGCTGTCCTTGCTGCTGGGCAAGACCTGGGATGGAAGGTCGCCTTGTCTAACTGATAAGCAGTTAGAGGAGGCTGTGATGTCTACCTCCTATTCTTTCATGCCTGCATCTTGGTAGGGACCAGAAGGGCCTTTGGTACCTGATGAAATGTTAGGAGTGACTTGTCTAAGGGCATTTGGCTTTTTCATTTGTACTAGATGGTTTGGTCTGTTTTTGGAGTTGGGACTACTAAGGTGAATTAGGAACCATCCTCATCCTCAGGGATCAGCTTGTTACTTGAGGATGTGAAAGCTGTGCCCCTGGGGAGGGGGGAGGGAAATATTATAAATGGCTGGGGAACCTGTGTCCCCAAGGATTTGCTAAGTGGCTCTCTCTCTCTCTCTCTCTCTCTCTCTCTCTTTACTTTATTAGAGGAAGGCAGGCTATCTTGGGAGGATAATTAAGATTTTCATTGGGTCTGTATGTTAGGGAAAGTATTCTGGTAGCTATATGGAATGGACTGGAGGAGAGTCAGTTGGGAGGTAGTGGGTACTAACTTAGAAGGGAAATGGGTACCACAGGGAATAGGGCTGGGTGGGAGGAAGGAATAGATGAGAATTCTGGATGACAAAGCTGAGTCCTATCCCTTGGCCTGGAACCTGCCCATTGTAACTGGGACCTGGGTGTTCTGCAGGGCCAGGCTGGATCCTTCTAATTATGCTGTCCTTATCTGTGACATGTGAGAGGTGCCCCTAGTACCAGCTCCTTTTGATCCTGTGTCTTGTCTTTCAGGAGCCTGTTCGATCTGAGGAAGGTCGGGACATGGCGAATAGGATCAGTGCCTTTGGCTACCTTGAGTGCTCAGCCAAGACCAAAGAAGGGGTGCGGGAAGTATTTGAGATGGCCACCCGGGCTGGCCTCCAGGTCCGCAAGAATAAGCGCCGGAGAGGCTGTCCCATCCTCTGAGCGCTCCCCACACCCTGAACTCCCTAGTTTTCCCTCCCCTTCCTTCACAGGGGGTTCGAATTACCCCCTCACTCCACTTTTGTAAAACTTAATGCTGAAGGTTTCTTTTTTGGTTCCTTCCTGCCCAGGACTGCATCGAGTTTTCCTAGCCCCAAGTTGGGGTTGGTAGGCCCTCCCTCCCAGTTTCTGGGAAGTAGGCTGGTGCCCTGCCCTTCCTGAACAGGGCCCCCTCCTCCTGCTGCCCTGGCCTAGGGTGGGGCTCCTGCTCCCTTCTGCCTTCCCCACATCACACACCAGCACTTTATATACTTCTGGCTCACAGGAGTGAGTTTAGGGTAGGGACTAGGGTCTCTGCTTTGGTAGTAGCCTTGTCTCTTGACTGTACTTGGTGGAAGGGGAGGGGGTGAATAAAGGTCAAAGGTTCCCACGTGTGTGGCAGCTTCCTGTCTCTCCTGGCCTACCTTGGCTGTAAGCCTGGAGTGCCATCTTTCTTCATTTCCAAGTTGCTGGCCAGGCTGGGCCCCTGTCTGCAGAAGCAGGATTGGGGTGGGGGTAGGGTGAAGTTTGGAGTAAGGGATGAGGTCATGCTTGGCTGCTAGCCTAGGCAGGGTGAGGGGAGTGGTCTGTATCACTGGCTAAACTTAGAAGCCTGTGGGTGGCTTCCTTGGTCCACTGGGTTTCCTCCCCTCCACGTAGTTATGAAGGGGTGTGGCCCTGGACAGGCACCCTCCTGCAGGGTCAGCTTGGGGGCACAGGAAGTGAGATCAGGCTGATAGACATAAGCAAGAGGCTTTTGCATAGAACAGCATTTTAAGAGGTTTTCTTAAAGTAGCTCAGTAGCAGAGCGCTTGCCTAGCATGTGCGAGGCTCTGGGTTCAATCCCTAGTACTGCAAAAGAGGGAGAAAAAAAGCTTTTCTTCCTCCCCTTCCCCACAATTGTTAGCAGCTTGGGTTGTTTCCCCTAGCAGGGAAAGGGGTGGAATGGTTTGAGCTGTAAACTTCCTAGCCTTCCTCTGCAGGGGGCAGCTGGACTGGGTTCTGGGGCAGGGGCAGGCCACTATAAGGCTAGGCTGGTATGAAAGGGGGCAGCTGTCTTCAGAGCTCATTTCTCCACTCTGGCTCCACTTGCAAGGGCAGGCCCCCTTCACTTTCCCGCTCCTGGGGGAGGTTTTGGTGACGGCGGGGCCCTAGAAAGAAAGGTGACATGATGTTTTTGTCTTCCTTAACTGTAACTTCCCCCAACCGTTCCCACTGGCCTACCCTGCCCAGCTGTACCTGAGGTAGAGGGGCTGAGTTTGCTCAGACCTTGGAGTAAGTCCTGTCCCTGTTGCAGGTCCAGTTTGGCAGGAAAGGGGCATCCGGTGTATCCCCCATTTTCTTTACAGAACTCCAGGAATCTGTGGGATACAGGAATATTGGCATAGGGCCTGTGCAGGCCTGGTTGAGGTGTCTGTAGAGGCTGCAGGCAGATGCTCAGTCCTGCCACATCTGAGGTTAAGCTGCTCAACTTCACTTACAAATACAGTTTAGGCGCTGTGAGCACCGAGGACTAACAGAGCAGTACACAGGTGCTCAGTAAGGACACACCTGTCCCAGACTGGGGCTTGTAGCTATCCAGAGTGATTGTGGGGTGGGAATGCTCACGTTTTCCAGTCAGGATCATGGCCCAGGAGGAGGGGGTTGCCTACTACAATGAGCAAAGCCTTGGCCCGGGTCACAGCTACGTTGAATCTCTGGAAGGAAGAAGTGATGACGTCATGGAAGGATGGACCCTGAGGAAGAATTCATGCCACCCACGAGCCTTCAAACCTTAGGGTTCTTAAGGAAACCGAGGTTAAAGTCCAGATCCAGCTGCACAAAGCTCTGGCTGCTTCGCACAGTGGAGATGAGGATGACACTTCGTTCCTGCCCTTGGAATTCTTCCACAGAGCCCACCTAGAGTAGAGAGACGTAAGTCTTAAGACCGGGTAGGTCCTAGGGGAATCGTGAGAACAAACCTGCCCCACAGAACTTGGGCTGCCAGGAAGGTACAGACAAGACATTGGGTGCTTGTAGACCAGTGAGATCAGTGCAGGGCCAGGGAGAGGACAGGAGGTTTGCAATGGAAGCCAAAACCTGAAGGATGTCAGTTACAGGGTGGGGCCCGGAAAGTGTTCAAAGCAAAGCAAATGGTATTGCAAAGAACATGGGAACTAAGCAGGGCTCCAGAAATCTCCCTGGAGACTGTCATTAAGTACTTGCTACGTCTATATAATCCTAGGCCCAAACCCAGACCTTCTGGTCAGAATTTTCAAGGGAGAGGCCTCTAAATCATAAAGCAGTAGTTTTCAACCCTGGCTCTTCATCAGAACCACCTGAAGAGCTGTAAAAATATTTCGACTGCCCAGGCTCTGCCCACAGATAGCTGTGTTAATTGGTTGGGTGGGGCCCTGGCACCGGCAGTATTAAAAGCTCTCCAGGTGATTGTTCCTGCATCAGTGTTAAGAGCCACAACCTCAGAGGAAGAGTTAAGCTGCTGGGGGAGGGGGTGGGGATGGCAATATCACATGATAGACTGGGTTGGTTTTGGAGTTTGGACTTCATCCTTAGGGTAGAGGCTTTAAACCTGTCTGACTGTAAGAATGACGTGGACAGTTGTTAAAATATTCAGGCCACCTGATCCCATCCCAGAACTACCTGGGTACAACTCCAGTTTTGTTTTGAGCAACAGAGTGGGACAGGGACATAGGCTGAGGTTCTGATGTGAGAAAGTGAGGGTTTCAGGGAAGGCAGGGAGCAAGTGTGGGATGGTATGGGTATGTCACCTTCAAGTCCTTGATGTCATCCAGTCCCCGTAGTTCCCGATCAAGTTTTGTGATGCAGTACCGGATTTTTTCCACCTGGAGGGGAGGGGAAAGGTGTCTCTCAAGCCATCACCCTCACATAAGAGGAAGGCAGAGGCAGGCAGGGGGCCAGGGTGCTAGCTGGCAAGGAGAGAAGTCCCATCCTTTAACTGAGGGCCTGACCTGCTTCCGGTATGGCGAGATGACACCCACACTTCGGGGACTCAGGCGGGCTTTGCCCTTCTTGGAGGAAGGGGCCAGGAGCTGTTTCAGGTAGGAAGTCACTGTGGCGGCCTCTTCAGGGTTGAAGAAGGATGGGCTATTGCCCTCACGCTCATCTTTGCCCATTACACCGTGAAAGATGATGGGGAAGCCCTGGACACATGATGAGATGAGGAGGAACCCTCAGGAGGACCTCCCTCCTGTCCTGCCCTTAAACTCTTCCAGGGAATCAGAGGTCCCAGAACATGGTGACAAAGGGAGGGCACTGTGCCTTCAGGAGGAGGGAGTCAGGGTCCAGGGGTGGAGCCTGAGCCTTTCCCTGCTCAGTCTCACCTGTTGAGGCAGCCCCTCCCAGCGGCAGAAGCGTTCTCTATCCACCACATCTGCACAGGCCTGCAGCTCCCCATCGTAGTACAGCTGGTTAGGAATGTTCAAGATGGTGGGATGAGACCTAGGAGACAGGAGGAAGAAGAACAAGATCAAAGGCTCCTTGGGAAGCCCCTGGGCCACTTGCCCAAGGTACCGCCCCACCTGCCTCCACCCTGCACAGGGCACATTCATTGCAGTGTCTACTGCCAGGTGCTGCAATCCACAGAAAGCTGAACCAAACATGGCTCCACAAAGCATCCAGGCCAGGGGTTTCACTGACCAGCCAAATTCCATTACAGAACTAAGATATTAGGACTCATTCTCAGGTTTTAGTTTACCAAACAAGGACAGTACAAAAACAAATGATCCAGGCTCGAGAGATGGCTCAGTGGTTAAGAGCACTGACTGCTCTTGCAGAAGACCTGGGTTCAATTCCCAGCACCCGTATGGCAGCTACGAACAGTCCTTAACTCCAGTTCCAGGGGAATCCAAAGCCCACTTCTGACGTCCGAGGCATTGCACGACATGGGTGCACTCAACATACATGCAGGCAATACACTCATACACATAAAAAATAAAAATAATAAATAAAATTTTTAAAAAAAGATCATCTCTTATCACCGCTATTTGATTGAGACAGGTTAATCCAAAAAATAATAGTGACACAAAAACAATTACAGGATTTTTTTAATTAAAGAAAAAATTAATTATTATTGTATGGTTTGGTTGCTCACACCATAACTTGAGTATGGAAGTCAGAGAACACTCTTGCAGAGTGGGTTTTCTCCTTCCAACTTTAAGTGGGTTCATGGGTTTAGGGTAATAAAACTCAGGTCATTAGGCATACATAGCAAGTGCTTTTACCTGCTGAACCATCTATCTCACTGTTCCCTCCTCCCCACTTTTGCAACAAAGTCTTACTGTGTGGCTCAGCCTAGCCTGTTTCAACCTCCCAAGTGCTAGGATTATAGGCATATGCCATCACTGTCCAGCTTACATTTACCAAATTCTTTTTGCTTGCATGGATGTAAAGTGTACTCATGCCATGCAATGCCCAAGGAGGCCAGAAGAGGGTGTTGGATCCCTAGGAACTGAGGTTATGGGTGGTTTTTAGCTCCTATATGGGAGCTGGGAACCAAACCTGAGTCCTCTACCAGAGGAGCCAATGCTCATAAGCATGGAGCCATCTCTCTAGCCCCACATTCATGGCCAAGTGTGGTGGCGCACACCTTTAATCCCAGCTCTCAGGAGGCAGGCTGATCTCTGTGAGATCAAGGCCAGCCTGGTCTACATAGAGAGTTTCAGGGATAGAGGGATACAGAGTCCTCTCTACACCCCCCCAAAGATTTATTTTTAATTATGTGTATATGTATGTGTCTGTGTGTGGGTATGTGTATGTGAGTGCTGGTGCTCTCAAAGCCAGGGGCATTGGATTCCCAGGAGCTGGAGTTAGAAGTAGTTGTGAGTCACCTGATGTGGTTGCTGGGAATTGAACCTGGGTTTTCTGGAGGAGCAGCACAAGCTCTTAACTGCTAAGCCATCTCTCCAGCCCCCTTAAAGGTTTTGATTACTATTTTAAATTATGTATATGGTGCATGTGTCTATGTATGGGTATATGCATGCGAATGCAGGTACCCAGGGAGGTCAGAGGTATCAGATCTTCTTGGAGCTGGAGTTATAGACAGGTGTGAGCCAACCAACATGGGTGCTGGGAATGGAATGTAGGTCCTCCTGTAAGAGCAGCCCTTGCTCTTTACTGCTGAGCCATCTTTCCAGCTCCACATTTACCAAACTTTTACTGCAGTCTAGAACTCATCTAATCATTGATGATGTCTGAACTCATTTACTAAAAGAAATATATGAGTATGGGTGATACACACCCATAATCCTAGCTTCTCAGGAGGCTAAGGCAGGATCATAGGGGCCAAGAATTAGGACCAGCCTAGGCAACAGAGAAAAAGACCCTGTCTCAAAGAAGGAAGAGAGTTTGGGATAGAGATCTGTGCTAGAGCACTTGCTGAGAATAAGCAAGATTCTGTGCTCAAGCCTCAGCAACACACACACACACACACACACACACACACACACACACACACACACACACAAACCCAGAAGTATATAGGCTGTATATATAATAATAGTTCTATTAGGAAAAAAAATTATTCTTCCTGCTTTTCTTATTTCTCTTTGGATTGCCTAGAAACTTAGACCCATCCCAGATATATCTGGTTTGAGGACCTCCAATACATAGATAAGCCACTGGCCCTGGAGGAAGCCCCTTGTTAGTCACACAGACAAGGAGCTGTGATGGGGCTACAAAGGAGACCTCTCTTCCAGTTGATGGTCTATGAAGACATGCGATGAACAGCAGAGAGGGGGCAGAGATACCTGTAGTTGCGGAGCAGCTTGGTGATGAACTGGGGATCATACCCGTTGGGGCCCTTCTTGTATAAGGAGTTGTAAGTGAGCAGGCGCTCCAGCAGTGAGTAGCTAAGTCCATACTTCTGTGCCAGTGGCGAACGCAGCACAGGCCCCAGCTGCCGAGGGTCTCCTGCCAGCACCAGCTGCCCTCCTGGGTTGCCCGTTTCCTTGACATCCATCAATCCTGGGAGGCAGAGGAGGCATGGGAGAAAGGTTAAACGGTAGGACGTCTCCCCAACTCACAAAAAGGGTGGCCCACCTACAACCCATCCTGAGCCCCCTCACCTGCTATGGCTACCAGACTCTCAGGCTCCATGCAGTGGCCAGCCTCATCGATGAAGATGTGTGTGAAGTGATCAATGGGAAACTGGGCTGACACCAACCTGAAAGTGTCAGCCAAGCAGGGGTTCATTCCCAGGCACCCAACTACCAAACCTGAATTCTGGCCCCTCATTTCACCCTGCCCCTAGGAACCCGTTTCCGTTACTCTAGCTCTGAACCCATTTACTTACAATAATGATTAAGAGACACATCCCCACACACTCCCTACCTGCTGGCAGTGATGAGGGTGGTAATTAAGACCCGATATTGTTGCAACTGCTTTTTGGCAGGAAACACATACTCCCCCTTCTTAGCATCCCAGTTACAGCAGGCCTGTGGGTTGTGAAAAGATGTGGAATCAGCTTGGCTCTTCTTTTTCTCACCCTTACCCTGGCTCTGAGCCCCAGGGACTGATTTAGTGCCTCTCTTTTTGCAGATAAGGAAAATGAAATCCAGAGAGTGGGTCGTGACCCACCCAGTGTCACACAGTAAGTCTTCAGGTATGCTCTGAGAACCTCCAAGGCATCCACTATTCCTTGCCCCCTTGCACCTCCCTAAATACCTTAATGTCCTCAGGCACCATGCGGATGTCCCTGCTGGGGGCCAGGAGGCGGTAGATGCAGCTGGGCAGGTGGACTCGGAGCCGCTGACAAAGGAGGTCAGCCCCCGAGTTGGATGGAGTGCAGGCCAGGATGTGGGCTTTGGGCAAGTGCTTTACTACCTAAGATGAAGAAAAGGGCAGCATGGGAAGACGAGTCCTGACACTGGTGACTCTGGCTGCATTTGCCTCCCATAGCTGTTGTGATTGCTAAGTGACACTTTAATGCTGTTTAACTTGTGGTAAATACACATCAGTGTGACTGAAACATAAATGGTGTCACACGGTGCCCAACTGGCACAAGAGCGCTCAACAGTCATAATGACCCTAACTACCCCACCTTCTCTTTTGAGGACTGCTGTGGGATAGGAACGTTCAGGGAGCTTGAGGGAATCAGAATCAGGGACAAATACTGGGGGCTGGGTGAGTCAGCACAGACCTTGGGACTGTGTTCCAGCCTCACCTGCTTAATGGCCTCCACTAATGTGACAGTCTTGCCGGTACCTGGAGGCCCAAAGATGATGTAGGGGGCAGGCCGGGTAGTGCCCCTCACAATATGCTTCATGGCCTGTAGCTGCTCAGGGTTCGACTCCAGACTCCGATCATACAGCCTGGCAGAGGGGCCAGGAACACGAACTTGAAGTCATCCAGGGGCCTCTGGGACTCCACTTCCAAAATCTACACCCCAAATAACCCCAGAGCCCTTGCCCACAGTCTCACTTGAACTTCACATCTGAGGGAAGCAGAGGAACCCCACGGGAGGCCACAGGAAAAAGCATGGGCCAGAGCAGCCAGCGCCCAGTCAACTCCAGGGCTCGGTGCTGGACCCGAAGGGGCTGGCGGTTGAAGGTAAAGTTCACCTTGAATGTCATCCCATCCACAAATCGATTCAGCAGGCTTTGGGCAAGAAATGAAGAGCTCCAGTCAGGTGCAATAGGCAGTAAAAACCCAGGACCCTCTCTACCTCCCACCATTCCAAAACTCTCCCTTCCCAAGCCCTCCATATGAAGTTCTCTAGGAGATGAAGTTGTTCACAGAGCTCAAGGTCTCCCTGCCCCGTAACCTCATCTCTGGAAGCAAGACCTCCTATCCCCTGGCCTTAGGAGACTGAAGGTTGCTCTGGTAACTCGGTTCCCTCAACACTCACCTGGTGGAAAAGCTCAGCTTGACACGGTCCAATTCCACCTTGTGTACATAACCTTTGTAGGTGACGGGGTCCTCCTGGTGGGTCTCAGAGGACAAAAGGGCAAACAGGTGGTCACCCCGTAGCACCGAGGGACGGCTCTCAGCCACACCTGGAACCTGTGAAGTGTAAATATAAGCAAGCTTTTCTATTCCATGGGGACTGTTGGAGGGTCTAGCCCTAGGCCCCGGCCTCATAGCACCAATTCACAGAGCTGTGCTATCCCAGCTTTCCTCTCCTACAAGGCAAAGCAAGAATCAGAGGAAGAGGAAGGACCTCAGGCTGCTCAGGTGTCTAGCCTGGGAATCTAGAAACTTCAAGTGTGATTTTAAGACCAGTGGCCAGCATCCCAGTTCAGCTAGCTGCTCTCTTGGGCAGCTTGGTTCCTGCTCTTCCTTTAACATTTTTGCACACCCACTTTCTGTAATAACCTTTCCCGATCTCTTCACTCTCTCCCTTCCCACCTGCACTTTGTGCAGAAATCCATTCTCCTGAGCAAGTCTGGGGTCTGTGTGCACACATTCAAAATGTGAGGGCTGGTGTGAGGGCACAGTGAGTTAAAGGCACCTGCTGCCAAGCCTGACCACCTGATTTGATCCCTGGGACCACATAGTGGAAGGAGAAAACCAATTTCTGCAAATTTTTCTGACCTGCATGCCATGGCATGTTGAGCACACACAAACAAAATAAATAAAAATGTGATGAAATTAAAAACAAAAATCAAAATGTGAACTTTGGAATGGGTTCTCAGAATTTTCCTTTATGTTATCCACAAAGCCAAGAGAAAGCAAAGGCTTACATAGCTATTTGCAAAGCCTATATTAAAACCACACTGCTGGTATGGAGAGATGATTCAGCAGTTAAGAGCACTGGCTATTCTCATAGAGAACCCAGGTTTGGTTCCCAACATTGGCATGCCAACTATAATCCAGTTCTAGGGGACCTGATGATCTCTTCTGGCCTCTGCTGGCACTGCATGCACGTGGTGCACTTGCATACATGCAGGCAAAACAATCATACACACAAAATAAAAATAAAATACTTAAAACCACATTCCCCTACCACCACCAAAAAAAAAAAACAAAAAGAGCTGGGCATGGTGGCACATGCCTTTAGTCCCAGCACTTGGGAGGCAGAGGCAGGCAGATCTCAGTGAGATTGAGGCCAGATCAAGTCCAGCTTGATCTACATAGTGAGTTCTGGGCCAGCTGGGGCTACAAGGGAGACCTTGTCTCAAAAATACCAAAAAACACCCCCCAAAACCAAAAAAACCCAAACAAAAAACCCGCACCACACTATAATGGGTCAGCAATGGGGAGGTAGAAACAGGAGGATCAGAAGTTCAAGGCCATCCTTATCTACATAGTAAATCTGAAGCTAGCCTGGGCTACATGAGACCCTGCCTTAAAAAAAAAAAAAAGCAGAAACAAATGAACTCCCCTGTCCTGGCACAGTTTTAGGGACAGGATGTTCACCCTGTTCTTGTTGAGCCTTCTGGGACAGGAACCATCTCATCCTTTGTCTATGTCTGCCCTGCTATCAGGGATCATCAGGTCATGTCACCCTCTGTAAGCTGGCTGGTGTGGGCCCCCCTTCCACACAGTGGATCTGAGCCTGACCTCCAGTGTGAGCAGCCTGGGGTTCTGGTCCACAGGATCCCATGTCATGGGCACTGACTCTAGGTCATAGTGCCGGATGTCATGTTCCATCTGTAGCTCCTCCAGGTGCAGCAGCAACCGGAGTTTCAGCTCATAGTTCTTGGACTTCAGGTTTGTCTCCAGCTGGGCCCTGGTGGGGATGGTTGGGGTAGGGGCAGGAACAGGGTAGGTCAGAGAACTCTTATGCTCAGGGGCTCTACCCACTCGTATCTAAAGCTCTGGAACTAAGCACACTTCAGGAAGGGGGGGGGAGACTAGAAGGGCAGAGACAGACAGGGTCAGGAGTTGCAGCAGCAAGCCCCTGCCTCCACCCTAGACCTGACTAGACATCTGTTTCCAGAATTCTGTGGCCAGAGTATTTCCCCTCGTAACTTCCCACACTGTACACCTCACCTTACTTATTCTCTTGAAAGAGTTCAGGCCTAATTGCCTTCTACAAAAGCACCAATTCATCTTCTTACCCTGCTCTGTGTTTGGTTTCACATTAGTGTAGTTCTTTATAGCACTTATCACTATGTGGCATTAGACATAAAATGGTTGAGAAACTTTAGGTGAGCCGAAGAGATGGCTCAACAGTTAAAAATCCTTGCTGTGCTTGCTCTTGTGGGTTCATGGGTGAGCTCACAGCCACTGGAACTCCAGCTCCAGGGGATCCGATGCCCCCTTCTGGCCACTGTGGGCACTTGCATCCATGTGCACATACATAGTGATACAGATACATTGAATTAAAAATAAAATCTTTAAAAAAAAAAGAAAAGAATTCTAGCTGCCCGGTATCTTGCACTAGAATTGGCAAGGTGCTGACTCATTGGTTTCCCTTAAACAATGCTTGGCACCCAGAGCATGCTCAGTGTGGAGATGAATGAATGGAGTCTGGGAGACTGAGGACAGACAGGCAAGAAGCCAGCAGGGAGAGACAGAGGGCAAGGAAGCAAGTGGGCACACAGTGCTGGTACTTACTTGATCTCAGCAATCTCCTTTGGGGAGGTGAAGATACTTGTTCCCTGAAGAAGGGTGGGGAGCAGTTGTCTGAGACGGAGGGGTGGGTAGTAAGTCCCCAGTGCCATGCTTAGCTCCAGATCATAACCCTTAGCACTGTGGGAGTGAGGAAAGAAAATGTGTCACAAACACGGAAGCCCCTCACCTTCAAAGACTGGGAATGAGACAGTTCAGTGACTGCTGAGGGGGCCATATGTAGTTGCCCAGGGACACAGCACTCCCTCGCTCATGCAGCTGCTTGCTCCAAATTTTGCAAAGCCTAATACTTGGAACACACACAAAAAAAGAAAATTCTATGGCAGGGCAGGGTGGCACAGGCCTGCATTCTCAGTGCCTAGGAAGGGGAAACAGGAAGTTTAGGAGTTGCAGGCCAGCCTGGGTTATAGGCAGATCTTATCTCAATAAAGCAAACAAATGGGGCTGGAGATATGACTCAGCGATCAAGAGCACTGTCTGCTCTTGCAGAGGACCCTGGTTCCATTCCCAGCACCTACATGGTGGCTAATGACTGTTTGTAACTCCAGTTCCAAGAGTATTTGATACCCTCTTCTGACCTCTGCAGGCACTGCATGACACAGATGCACTTACATGCAGGCAATACATACATACACATAAAAAGTAAAACTAAATATTTTTAATAAAGCAAACAAATATTATAATTAATACATGCTCTTTTGAGAAAAAAAATCAGGCAACAAGTACGTTATAAATAAGTAACATTCTTTTTTTTGGTCTTTTTGAGACAGGGTCTTCCTGTAGCCCCAGCTGTCCTGGAACTTACTATGTAGACCAGGCTGGCCTTGAATTCACAGAGATCGGCCTGCCTCTGCCTCCTGAGTGCTGGGATTAAAGGCGTGTGCCACCACGCCCAGCAACATTCTTTTTTAAAAAGTTATTTTTTATGTGTATGGGTGTTTTGTCTTAATTTATGTAAGTATACCACATGCATACAATGCTAGCCAAGGTCAGAAGAGGGCATTGGATCTCTTGGAATTGGAGTCACAGAGAGTTGTTAGATGCCATGTGAGTGCTGGGAACTGAACCTGGGTCCTCTGGAAGAACAGCAAGTGCTCTTAACCACTGAGTTATCTCTCTAGTCCCTAAGTAACATTCTTATCATCCAGGGCACAGGAACAGTCAACCTTAACTTTTTGGTATATAATCTTTCAAACATTTTTTTCTTTATTTTCTTTATTTATTTTTGAGATCACGGAACATAGACTGGCTTTAAACTTGCTATGTAGCCAGAGTTGACCCTGAACTGCTGATCTTCCTACCTCCACCTTCCATGTGCTGGAATTACAGACATGTATGTTCTCATGCCCTTTTTGTTGTTGTTTGTGGTGCTGGGGATAGAATCCAGGGTCTTGCGTATACTGTAAATTTGTTTTATACATATATATTGCTGGTTTAAAAAATATTTTATTATTTTTATTTTATGTGTTTGAGTGTATTGCCTGCATGTAGGTAAGTACACCTGTGCTGGTCAATTCCCATGGAGGTCAGAAGAGAGAGCATCCAATTCCACTGGAACTGGAGTTACTGATAGTTATTAGACATCATGTGAGTGCTGGGTCCAAACCAGGGTCCTCACCAAGAGCACCCAGTGCTCTTTCTTAACTGCTGAGCCATCTCTCTAGCTCCTTATACATATATATTGTACACAAAGGAGCTATAAAGTCTCAATGTGAAGATTTTATTATATGGTTTGCATTTATAGTTCAGTATTTTGTAAACTTCTAGCTATGTCAAAAAGATATCTACATTTATGAGACGGGTGGCAGATTAAAGGGCGATGGCTAAACGGCTCCGCATAAAAGTGTTCTAAAACTGACAGTAACAATAGTTGCACATACCTGTGAATACATTAAATAAATCACTGAACTGCATGTGAATTTTCTCAACAAAGCTGTTAAAAAAGATCAGAGAGCCAAGTGTGGTGGTGCATGCTATTAATTCTAGCATTTAGGAAGGAGATGTAGGCAAATCTAAATGTGTTTGAGACCAGCTTGGTCTACATAGCAAGTTCCAGGCTAGTCAGGGCTACACAATGAAATCCTGTCTCACTCGCTCATTCAATCACTCACTCACTCAAAGAGCAAGATGTGGTAGCTCCTATTTCTAATTCCAACACTTGGGAGACTGAGGCAGGAGGGTTGTTGCTAAGAGGTCTAGGCCAGCCTGTGTTTATAGAGAGTTCTAGGCCAGCCTGGGCTTCAGAGTAAGACCCTGTCTAAAAACAAAGGGTCTCAAGAGATGGCTCCATAGTTAAGAGCGCTGGCTGTTCTTGCAGAGGACCCAGGTTCAGTACTCAGCACCCACACGGTGCCTAACAACTGTCTGTAACTCCAGTTCTAGGGGAATCTGATGTCCTCTTCTGGCCTCCCTAGGCATTGCCCACACATGATGCACTTACACACACGCAGGCAAAACACTCTGATACATATAAAATAAAAATAAATTCATTAATTAAAAAAAGAGTATGTGGAGTTAGAGAGATGGCTCAGTGGTTAGGAGCACTGGCTGCTCAGACCTACATGGCACATGACAACTGTCTATAACTCCAGCTCCAGGAGATCCAATACTCTCTTCTGATCTCCATGGGCACTGCATGGTCAGAACATGGGTGCACTTACATACATGCAGGCGATATACTCATACATATAAAATAAAAATAAGTAAAATATTAAAAAAGTAAAAGGTATATACTGTTCTTGCAAAGGACCAGAGTTCAGTTCCCAGTACCCACATCAAGTGGCTCACAATCGATTTTAACTCCAGCTCCAGGGGTTTCAATGCCCTGTTCTGGGCTCCTCAGGTATCTGTACCCATATGCACATATGCACAGACATATACACATATACATAATTAAAAATAAAATAAAATCTTTTAAAAAAAACAGAGGGAGGCCCTAGATGATAGTTCAGTGGTAAAACGTGTTCGGCAGGAATAAAGCCCTGTGTTAAATCCCCAACACCACAGAAAAAGGAGAGAGAGGTGAAGAGGAAGGAGGAAGAGGAGGAAGTAGAGGGGGACGAAGAAAGGGGGAAGGAGGAGGAAGGAAGTAGAAGGAGGAAGAGAAGAAAAGAGAAGGGAGGAGGAGGAAAAGAGAGGTCTACAATATGTGCCATTCCTCCATACAGTGGAAATACAAGAACTGTTATTATGTCCTCAGAACTGTCACTCTCCTGAAACTGACTTCCTAGACAGGAAAGGGCTCTGAGACCCAGAGTAGAGAAGAGCCCACAGTTCAGAAAGCAGGCTCTTCCCAAGGGCCTACACTGTCATTATCAAGTTACCGGTCAGGTCTCTCTCCTTCCTCTATCCGGTTGGTCAATACAGGGTTTCCAGTGAACCGTGGGGTACGCTTGAAGGGAGTTGTGGGCTTCAGTTGTGCAGCCAGGGGACTGTGGGCAACAGCAGCCAAGAAGCGGGCAATGTAGAATGTTTCAGCTCCTTCTGACCCAGATTCCCCAGGTCCCAGCAGTTCCCAGAGCACAGTGGCTGGGAAGTAGCCCACAATGCTGGTCTTACAGTAGACATGGAGCTCATAGCTTTCACCTGGAAGAAGATGGCTGAATGAGTGAATGGGGGTGAGGTAGGGTACCCCAGGGACCCTGATCCTAAGACAGGGCCCACTGGACAGCAACAGTAGCCTTTCCAAAGCCCCAGCCCTCCTAGGGTCAACCTCCTAACCCCCAGAGCTGCTTCATCTCCAAAACCCACTCACCTGGGCCCAATGGGCAAGGCAGGTCCTGGTCACCGTGGTAGAAGGCAAACTGGGGTGTCCAGCACAGTGGGAAGAGGTGAGTGAGGGTAACAGGTTTGGTTCCTCCATTCCGAAGCCTGAGGGTCAGCACCTCCTTGTGGTTCAAATCCAGGCGAATAAGGAGCTGCCCATCTCGGGCTTCATGGGGCCCTTGGACCTCCACGTCTACTCCATGCTTCCCATGCAGATACTCAGCCCTGGGGAGAGTGGGAGTCAAGGGGGGAATGGCATAGGAGGGACCTGGACTGGGGGTTGCTCTGGGGAAAATTTCAGGATTAGGAAGCTGAGAAAGTGTCAGTTATGCTCAGGAGCCTGCCTGCACGCACCCTGGGGCAATTCCCCGTCTCTACCACAGACTGTGGAAAACCACTGTTTCGTCAGCCAGACGTCCCTTCCCCATACCCTCCCTGTCCACTCAAAACACACACACCTGCCACATGCACTCACACACCTATCACATGCACTCACACACCTGTCATAAAAGATCCTGGCTAGCAGTGACCTGTGTTGTTTGCTGATATCCGTCCCCGGCTTTATCCGCTTCTTTTTGGATAACTGCACGTCAGCCCAGCGGTCTAGTTTGAAGAACCTGACCCGAGTCTTGGTGACGAAGGCCAGATTTGCAATCTTCATTCCATACAGCATAGAGGAGAAACCAGGGCAAGGGATCCCAGAGCTGTCAGAAGCAGAAGAGACTGGGAAGTGAGGGAAGGCAGGGTGGCTGTAGGGAAGGTGTTGGGGAAGGCTGAGGGCAACTCTGTGCAGGGACACCCCAGTCCTGCTACAGGGCAGGATGGGGCTCAGGGGCAGAGACTCCAACTGGGGCTGGCAGGAATTACCTTAGAGCAAGATGCTGGGACTTTCCAAGGCAACCCTGGTTTAAACAGTGCTAAGGAGAAAAGCCCAATATTGGACTGTTAGCTGGGAAGACTACAGGGAGACAGAAAGAAACAGATTTTTTTTTTTAAGGGGAGGGACTATTTGGGATTTAAAAACTAGTGCAGTGGAAAGAGCTAAGGTCAATGGGGAAACTGAAAAAGAGGGCTCATAGGAGTGGACAGGGCCCAGGCTGTGGGGAGGACAGAGAAAAGGGAGCAGAGAGCAGTGGTCCCAGAGTGGGGCAAGGTGGTGGATCAGATATACTTTCCACCGGAAGTCAAAAAGTACAGGTGGAACCGAAGCAGGAAGGGAAAGGATCCTTCTCAATGACACCAAAAAAGCCCGGCTTTGTGCCTAGAGAGGTGAAGGCAGGAAAGTGGTCAGCAGGATAGTAACCTCAAGGCTCAGCCCTGGAGTTCAGTGTAGTCCACTCAACACATACTTATGGAGGCTTGTTTGGCACTAGTTACTGCACTAGAGGCTGGGGGGTTCCCAGCTACGAGCCCTAGATCCAGCCTTGAGGAAGGCTCAGAGACAACTCACATATTCCAGAGTGCTGACAGGGCACAGCTGCCCTGGCCAAGTTGGGGAACTGAGAGTTCTCTGGGGCATGGGTGGGTCTCTGGGGAACGAGTTGGTATTACCCAGGCAAGAAGGAGCACAGGGTGAGCAAACTGAAGGGCTCACACCAACAGGGCTGCCTGCTCCAGATGCTTCAGCTGGGCTACCTCAACCCCTCTGCACCTTGCTTTCCTCCTCTACTGAACTATGGGGCCCTATGGAACTCAGAGGCAGAGTGCTACCTAGCACCTGTGAGGCCTGAGGTCCAATCCCTAGCACCATGTAAAGAAATAAATACAATGGGAATAGCAAAAACGTCTCTAAAGGGCAACCACGAGGCTTACTTGAGATACTGACATTGCAACAAACCACTTAGCCCAGTGCTTGGCATGTAGCAGACCTCAATAAGGGAGAGTGTTGATTAGTATCACATACAGTTGGGTTGTACTACAGTGAAGAGTGTGAGCAAGGGAATGGCAGGAGGTGGCAGAGGTGAGCAGAGACCAGATCATGCCGTTTTGTATGCCCGGTCAAGCAGCCTGGACTTGTCAGAAGTCCCTTCCCTTCCCTTCCCTTCCCTTCCCTCCCCTCCCCTCCCCTCCCCTTCCCTGCCCAGGAGTCCAAGGATACTCCTAAACACGTGACATAGTTGATAGACATAGTCAAGGTCTGAGGGGTGATACCTCCCTTAATGTTTGTTAGGAGTGTTGGTCATTAAAGTATTTCCTAGGAATTGTGTGGTGATTCTTATCACCCCATCATTAGGGCTAAATCAGCACAGTCACTTATAAGGGTTTACAAAATTATCATTGTGGTTTAGAACATCTCCCTGGTATCCCCTGCCTGTAACTCTGCCCCTCTCCTTTACCTCAAGAAAGGAGAAGAGTAGCATTCGGAAAATGTAGTGGCTACAATTTCTTCTAAAAAGATGGTAAGTCATTTGAAAGCATAGTGGGAAATGCTGAGTCAGCTACTGTTGTTAGTATCTGTATTAGCAGGAAGAGCAGCTCTAATCACAGCAGGAGCAGTAATGACTTACTTTCAGCCCGTCAGAGGCTACCCTGTGGTTACAGAACCACTGCAGTTGGTTTTAAGCAGGAGAGTGGCAAGATCATATTTGCATTTCAGATCACTCTGGCATCAGGATTGGAGGATGGATATGCTGGAGGTAAGACTGTAGGCAGGGAGACCAGTTAGAAGAAGGCCATTGCAATCATCAGGTTAAAAGATATCAAAGGTCTGAACGAGGCAGTGGTAGAAACAGAGGAGGGGCCAGATCTGATCATATTTAGAATGTCAATTATCAGAATTTTGTGACTGACAGGAGAGAATGAAGGTTGGGAAGAGGGGAGGCATCTAGATTACCCAAATCAAGGGCTTGGCTTCTGGGACTGTTCCCAGGAAGAAGGCAGAGATGAGGAGAAGGTAGCCAGGCGGACCACAGTCATGTTTGGATTGGGCAGGCTGGGTTTGAGATTCTAGTGATCCAAAGGCAGCTCTGGTTCTATGAATCATGAGCTAGCTCAGGCCAGAGTCAAGGCTAGAATCTAACACTATTAGGGAATCCCCTGGTGGTCATTATAACCAAGGAAGTGTTTCAGATTTCTCTAGGGAATGTGGTAGTCTGTGAACAGCAGAGCCAAGGGAGGAAGGGAAAACAGGAGAAACCCCAAGAGAGGGAGGAGAATCAGAAGTTTCAAAATCAACTACCAAGATCCAAGGCTGCTGAGGCTTTTCGGCATGAAGGGGCTGGAAGCAGATCAGGGGCTCCTTAGTCTTTTAGTCACCAAGTCCCAGGAGCTGGATGGCAAACTCTACCTAATGCCTACAAAAGCTGGGTTCCATAGGTATTTTGGTATCTGCAGCCCTCTCCAACAGTTGCTCTGTCCCATTTCTGAGTCATTTGTTTAAGAATGACTCTATATCCCTCACCAGCCTACCACGAGAAAACAACACCACAAACACCTTAAAAATTGACTCCAGGCTACCAGCTCACTGCTGGGATGGCACAAACTGGGCCACGCTTTTAGAAGGTAACTGGTCTTCCTAGCCAGATGCAACCAGTAGAGAATGCAATACAAGACAGCCGTATCACCTGGCTTTTAAGAGAAGATAAGTATTAGCCCAGTGTTGTGCATGCCTTTAGTCACAACCACTTGGGAGTCAGAAGCAGGTGGATTTCTGTTGGTTTGAAGCCAACCTGGTCTATATAGGGAGTTCCAGGACAGCCAGGGCTACATAGTGAGACCCTGTCATAATATAAATAAATAAATAAATAAATAAATAAATAAATAAATAAATCAAGATTTTGTTGTGGGGCTGAGGCTATAGCTCAGAGGCAAAACACTTATCTGGCATGTGCAAGGCCCTAAGTTCTCTCTGCAATAAGGCAAAAAATATAAGTCAGGTATGGTGTCTTACACCTATAATTCTAGCACTTAGGAGACAGAGGCAGAGGATGGAGTTCAAGGCCAGCCTGGAATACAGTGAGATACTGTCTCAA